GCTTCTACCGGCTGATTGAAGTAGCTGGTGACTGCATTTGGGGAGCTTCCATCGCCCAAAAAAGACTGCCTAAAGGCGAGGGGACATGGGCGTATGGGCCCTCTAGGTGGGGGAGGAAATTAAGTCACCCCCGAAAAGACGGCCTACCCGTTTTTTCAGGGGTCAAAAAAAATAAGGACCGGCCTTATTTTGTGAGAAACACGGTAACAACTTGTGTGATGAGTCGGCCACACACCAGCAAGGAATGGAATTGGAAACTGCTTTTCTTTTTCTTTCTCCTTAGATACGTAGGGTAGGTTTCAGTAACTGAACACCAACCAGCCCTCCTTCCTGTAACAGAATTATGACCAGATGAGAAGGAAAAGTTGATGGCTACAGTCATTTGAGTACCAAATATGGAGAAAGAAATGCTGTAGTCATCCTATCAAGATCTGGCAGACAGGTTGAGACGGGCCTGTTTTCTTTGAAGTCTCAGGCTCTACAGTTATTAATCCCATCATCTCCCTGCAACAGAGCAACATTTGGAGGGGGAAAAAACCATCTTTGAGATACAAATAAATAATTGCCTATATTAAAGTTTATGTTCACATTTTGTACTTAAGATCATTTTTGTATCCTCTTTGACTTTAATAAGCAGTATTTTATGAAATAAATTATATTCTAGGGAAGAAGTCAGGCATGATATTCCCCTCTGAAAAAAAAATCGGGGCCGGCCAAAAGAGACCCCCCCCACCGCGCGCCAAGAAATCGCTGCCCAGCTCCCTTTTCCTGCCGCTCAGCGGCCTCCCCTCGCACCGCCCGGGCTCCGCTCGCACCGCCCGCCCGCCCGGGCTCCGCTCGCACCGCCCACCCGCCCAGGCTCTGCTCAGGTATCCGGCTGGGGCTGTCAGGAGTTGCTAACGCTGGCGCGGCTCCGCGCGGCTCCAGTCCCGCGTTGCCTCGGGAAGGGAAAGGCAAAACCAGGAGCCGCTGCTGCCGTTGCAAAGTGCCGCCGCGGCTCTTCCGTTTTGCCTTTCCCTTCGTGAGGCAACGCGGGACTGGAGCCACGCAGAGCCACGCCAGCGGTAGCAACTCCTGACTCGGGGCCTCCGAGGAGAGGGGAAGGAGGAGAAGAAGGGGGGGGAAGGGGGGGCGATTCCCCAAAAAATCGGAATTCCGATTTTAATCGGAAGAATATCATGTCTGGAAGAAGCTCGGTCATAGTAGCTTTTAGTTATTAAAGCAAAAGTTTACTCACAGTTCTAAATTTGTCCATACATGGCCTAGTTATCCCTCATGTATGATAATTTTTTTAAGTTCTAAATTTCTATCTAAAAAAAAAAAAAATACCCAAGGCATTTGGTTCTGTAATGTCTTTTAGGAGAAAACCTTTTACAAATCAAAAAGAAGTAAAGGGTAGAAGCTTTTCAAAGAGAGATCCAACCAAGAACTAAGGAAAAAAATCTTGATGGTGAAGACAATTAATCAGTGGAATAACTTGCTTCCTGGAGTTGTGGGTGCTCCATTGCTGCAGGTTTTCAAAAATGGACTGGACAACCATTTGACCAGGACCTTGAGCAGGGGTCTTGAAGACCACCAAGGCTGCTTTTAGCCCTATGATTCTACATTCTAAAAACAACTAAATCTGGATTGGAATAGTGGCAATAGGAAATTATGAGCCTAGAAATCCAGAGGTCACATTCATCAGCTCATACATTCAGTATCTGGTCTATGGTAATGGCCAAATGCTTAAACCATTAGATTAATGCTTGGGGAACTAAAGTTTTGGAGCTATAGAATCTATGAAGGATTCTTACATATACCCCTATTTTTGAGGGAGGGGGAGTCCCTAAAAATGTTCTGGCAGATAATCAAAGAGAGATGGTAGCAAAAATGGACATGATATAAAAACTTAAGCATATAAAGTGATCTAACTCCAATGTTTGAATATATATATAAAAGAAAGCTTTATTCCAACCCATTTTAGCCTTTCCCAATATTAGTAGATATTCTGCCTCTTCAGCTTTCCCACAAAGGAAACTCACAGAAGATCTGGGCGAAAGTGATGTATGAGGGCACAAAGAGCCAATCCACTTTTCCAGGAGTGCGTGAAGTTTTCCACCTTGATGCCATGGTAACTGGCTGTGTTTGATTGGCACCAATTAAGAAGCTCCTCATAGGCTCTACTGGTTTCTGGAGTAAGAGTATGGCATTACAGAGAGAAAAGAGAATTGATATTTATTTATAAGAGTGTCCAATTCCCAGTATGTCTTCAGATACATATTTTATTCATTCCTTTATTCATCCAATTTATAAAGGAAAAGCTTCTCAACATACCAACGTTTTTCTTCTTTTGTCAATGGCTGTTGAAAAGCAAGCCACTATAATTACTAGCAGAAATCATACAATATTTATGTAACTGATACCCCTGGGTAGGTTATTGTATGACTGTATTGTTATTGCAATGTATAGAACAGTGGTTCAACCAGTCAGATGAAGATCTGTGCAACTTCATTGCCTATAGTTAAGCCAACAAAAGTATATACAAAAATTCTCTAGATTCACATGATATTCCCCTATAGCAACATACATCCAAAACTATTCTATCTAGTTGCAAGACCTAAAGAAGAAACTGCAAGCAGGATGATATGGCAGATTAAAAAGTACTAGAGGGCCAAGAGGTAGCAGTGGCAAGAAAGCAAGTATCAGTAGATTTAGATATTTGATGATGAAACACATCTATTTGGAAGTCTGGACAGCCATTTAGCAGATTAGTTACTATATCCTATATTGCAGAATATGCACAAAGTGGAAATTGGAAGACTGGAACCAATGAGTCTAAAGGTTATTTCCAATTCTGCAGTTCAATCATTCCTATGCAAGAATCTGTATGGCTGCAGGTGCCATTTTGTTAAAGCAAGAAAAAAGTGAGCATAAACAGTGGGATCCTTGCAGCTGGAAGCTAGGAAGAAAACTACCCAAACTTACCTTTGCAGACTAACTCTGGGCTGGCACGACTTCTTCTCTTGTTCTGCTCCATTTCTATATCTCCCTTAATGTACAGTTTATGAACCTGAAAACAAATGCACCTATTATTTGCTATCATCAACATGACTAGGACCCTGAACAGAACTCCAGCTAATCTATATACCTCGCAAATCCACTCAGCTCCTGAAATCTTCATCTTCCCTGTTCAGAAAATGCACCAAAACCCATTATCCAACTGACCAAACCTTAAGTGTTAGAACAGCCATCAAGAACATCTTGCAGGGAAGATTATTGTTGAGGTCCTACCATAATAAATAACATCACTTTATACTTTCTTTTATGTTTCTGGCTGCAACCAGTGCCAGAGTGGTCAAAACCCAGCTTCCCCTTTGCAACTTGACACTATATTGTGTCAAGTTGCAAAGGGGAAGGTGAGTTTTACAGAGGAACTTAACAATAAAGCCCTTGGTCGGGAAGACAAAGCAACTATACCTTCTCCTCCATCTCTGTTTGTGGCAAAGTACCTGAGAGATCTTGATTGCCTGAAAGTTGATGTTTGGGTATCGTGTGTTGGGATCAATGCTATACTGATTAATGTTCTTGTTCATGTTGTCAGGTGAAGTCTGTGACAGCCGCTGATATATACTTTCTCTAGGTGGAGATTGAGCAAAAAAGATTCCATCTGAGTTCATGAATGAAGAGGCATATTTTATACCTGGAAATCAGAATCAGCCTGGATGCAACTCAGGGATAACTATACAAGCAATATTCCTTGGTCTTTGCTTCTTTTCACAAGAGTCGTTCCTAATTCGTTCTGCGTGCTCTTGTAGCCATTATGAATATCAATATGTTATCCTATGTTTTGGGGAACATTCACTTTCCTCATGTAATCTTAAATTTTCCTCATTTAATTTTAAACGTCTTCCATTAACTTGCCTACCTTTCAGTCTATCCCCTAGGACCCTAAGCAACACACCCATAATTTCCTTCATAGTTATACAAGCTTTCAAATGGTTGTGTCTGGAAAGAGAAACAAGAAGCTACTGTTAACCATTTTGATTCTTTTCATCCATTTTTGTACTGAGAATGTTCACTGTCTCCAAGCAGCTATTTTCCTTTCACAGGTTAAAAAAATAGAACTTTGTCCTCAAACCAGGCCAAAAACAATTGACTGGGGATTATATCAAGCAAGAAAAAGTTGATAAGCGGGATTTTCTTTTGTTTTGTGTTTTTAAATCCTCCTTCCTTTCTTCCATGATTCTTTCTGCCTGCTAAAATTTACAGCATTCAAAGATGCTCTTTAAAAAAAAACAATATTTTGGAAAATGGTTTAGCTGTGGATAATACAGCCACTGAAGGCAATTAATGTCCCTGGGGGTATCGCTTGATATCCAATTGCACAGAATAACTGTGACCTCTAGTGAGACTAGAAAAGGACTCCACAGTTAAACATCCTTTTATGGCTGGCTGGGGAATTCTGGGAATTGACGTCCTCACATCTTAAAGTTGCCAAGGATGAGAAACACTGGAAAAAAAATCTGAAGGATTACTACCCCCCGTTACTTTGTGTGTCTCTCTCTTGAGAATCCTAGCTCTGGAAATGCCATACCCCTTTCTCAACATGCTTACCTCTCAGCCAACACATCCAGTGGGGATACTCCTGAGGCCCATCTTTTTACCATCCAAGCAGCATCAAATGCAGCTAAGAAACCTCTGCCCACACCAGTGCCCAAGGGCCAGAATGGCTGGAGAACAAAACAAAACAAAAAAACAAGAGTTCAAGCATTCTGGCTGCTCAGCAACATGGGACAATGACTCAAAGACATTGAAACTGGACAAATGCAGGAGGAATCGGATCTGGGTATGAATCTTGATGCTGCAATTAGTGTACAACTGTCTCACTGTGCAGTGTATGAATTTGAGAAATGCTTGCTTTCCATGGGACCCATAACACTGAGCTTGTTAGCTAGCAAATCGAGCTGTGGGGATAAAAACTACCTAGTAAAGACAAACAAATGAACATGCAAAATTGAAAATCACCTGCATTCTGTCCAGGAAAAGGAAACACTCTGGCCTCAAAAGTCCAAAAGCAAAACTATATTCATATACAAACCACCAAATAATATTGCTCATGTCAAGCACTAGTGAAGAAATGTCTGAGAAAAGTGCACAGAGGGGGTGGGGGGAAATCCCTGTATTCTGCTTGGTCTGGATTTTCATAATCCTTTTTAAAACAACCATTCTGCTGGGTAGAAGGTTTTTATAATAGTTCCCATTATAACAGCTGACATTCAGCAGATTTTTTTCCAAGAAGCTCAGCTTTATTTACATGTTTCCATATGATGACCTTTGAGTAACTTTCAGTAATAATAGAAATGGGAGAACAACCGTCGATAAAAAGTAAAAAGCCTTCCCGGGATATTGCTGCAGTAAAAAAATATGCAAAATCTCCCCTACATAAAATGATGGGGACAGCAAACTTGTAATGGAAAACTGGCTGTAGCCTTGGCTTCTCAATTAACCTAGAAAATTCTTAGCAGATGAACATTCAGCAATACAAGCTTCCTCTGCCTATATATTCTGAAGTAACACATATTGATTGTCCCTAACCAGCTGCTTTCCAGATGTGTTGGATTTCAACTCCCAAATTAGGACTGAAGTTGTAAACTAATACGAGGTTGGGAAAGACTGTCTCCAACTGAATGGGAGTTCCAATCAAATAGGTTTGAAGTGTGCATTTGTCCCATTCTGGAGAAGCCCTTCCAGATGTTAGTTCTGGTCATATTAAGGCCGCACTTACCTCCACCAAGCAGTCTCCCACCAACCCGATAAGCAGCTTAGCGCCATTGCAGTCACGCACCAAAGCTGCATTTTCTGCACGGCTCATGCAGGTGAAGTCAAACATGTCAACATCAGGACGGTGGTGATGGTTTAGGGCAAATTGCAAAGTGGGCAACTGGTAGTTGGTAGAGAAGTTGGCAGCCTCTTTGGCATAAGCGAGAAGGGCTTCCTGGTTCACATTTTCTGGAGAGAGTAAGCTCTCTATGTCAAGCTTATCCTAGAAATATATAGATATTTTTAATGTTCTATAATAATATAGAATAATAATTAAAGAGCCATGAGTTCTATTACTTTAACTTATAAAGCAGCTGTAAGACAATGGGATCTACTATATCTGGAGCCTACTTGCTGGAAGGCTCAGATGAGTAATCTACACTCTGGAGTGAGATGTGGCTCTCATACTGTGCAATCTGATTGCTCCAGCACCTCCCTCTGCTGAAGTCATAGAAAAAACAGGGCTATTTTTAAAAGGGCATAATGAAAGAAAAAGTAGTTGAATCAAAATTGGGAAAAGCAGGAGGCATAAAGTTTCGAACTCCCAAGATATCAAGTTTCAGCATGAATTTAATACAATTAGTACATTAAATATTCATTTTTGTGCCCCCATCGAAATTTAGACATTTTAATTTAATTTTAATCTCAACTGATTGTCAAAAGCATTTATTAAGGCAATTTATTAAAGGCAATTTAAGGAACCAACTTATACAAACAGTAAAGTTTTAATTACATTGCATTGTGAGTGTGGGTATAGCTAAAGGACATAGGTATAGAACATATAGCTGTATGTATAGGATATAGCTAAATATTTTTGGAATAGTTCATCTGCGTGGAAGTAGCATGGAAAATCCTCTGTTCTACATCTACATGTCGCTTTTATATCTCAAGGACTGTAAATCTTAATTATGTTGAATTCAGTCATCTCTTATTTAGGGATAACTCACATAAAATCCTTGTTTAGATTTCAGATTTATGAAGACATTTTTCTTCTTCATTAAGTGAAATGTATATTACATACCTCTTAGTTAAAAAAAGCTCAGTTCATATGTGCTTTCAAAAGTCATCAAAGTTCAATTTAAGGCATTATTTAGTGTTGGATCCACCATTCCACTGATTAAAAATAAGCTTCAAAATGACAAAGATACTACAGGATTTTAGCAATTTTAGAATGATTATTTATTAATTCAATCATGGCATCTGTACCATCATTCAAAATGACGCAATGGGCCCCTGAAAAGGTTTCCAAGCCCTGTCATACATACATTTAAGATTACTCCTTTCTTTAGCAAGCTATGCTTCTTGGCTGTCATGACGAAGTAGTGAGTATCATCTTTATAGTAGACAATGTTTTCCAAATCAATACCTGATATTGTTCAAACACAAAGAAAATGTTATAGATAGACAAGTTTAAAGGAAGATAGTCACATTCCTAAAGAGAAGGCTGCCACTGGGTAACAGCCACACAGGCTCTGAATTACCTGTAGGATCAGAATTAGTCTACAACTCAGTATAGTGGCTGGTAAACAATAGTGAGTGGCTATTGTCCTCATAAACTGATTGCAGAATTCCTTGTATCTTGGGCTATCTCTTGCAGGAAACAGGTTGCTTAACAATATAAGAAAATCCTTGTGGGATCATATGTATTCATATCTTTTTTTGTAACTGGCATTAAAAATACAGGTGTCCTTGACTTACAACAGTTCATTTAGTGAATGTTTGAAGCTCCAGCGGCACTGAAAAAAGTGACTTTTATGACCATTTTTCACACTTACAATTGTTGCAGTTTCCCCATGATCTTTGTGATCAAAATTCAGCTGCTTGGCAACTAACTTGTATTTATGATGGTTGCAGTGTTCTGGGGTCATGTGATCACCTTTTGCAACCTTCCGACAAGCAAAATCAATGGGAAAGCCAGATTCACTTAACAACCATATTACTAACTTAACAATCGCAGTGATTCACTTAACAACTTCAGCAATAATAGTCGTAAAATGGTTAACAGCTGTCTTGGTCAACAAGAAAAAATTTGGGCTAAATTGTGGCCATAAGTCAAGGACTACCTATATTCCGATGTAGTGTGATATAGAACAACATAAATTATAGGATTAAAAAAACCCAAACTAACTTATTTCCCCAAACAACCTATGTACATATATTGATGTATATTTTATTTTACACCACTGAAATTTATGGAAAAATGGAAGGATCCTAAATACTGTTCCAAAAGATATAAGAAATAGTTTTATCTGTTTGCTGACTCACCTTCTCCGTTTCTGCTTGTTAAAAACAATGGAATGTCACAGATTTCAATGCATGATGAAAAACCACGCAAGCTAAAAGTTAAGTGTAAACTCTCACCCGTTTTGTTAAAGAGATTTTGGAAGAACTTCTGGTTGTATATGCGAGCCACTCCACTTATCTCAGCCACTTCCACCTCAGTTTTGCTATGGTTGTTTATAAAATTGGTGGTAATGCCAATAGCCAATTTGCCTCGTGTCTCCTTCCTTTTAAAGCCTGTGAGAAAACATAAAAGAGAGCCTTCCATCGAATGTGAAAGAGGAATCAACCATACAGGAAATGGTCAGGGTTAGAATCAAAAAGAGCAACATAAACTGTACAGAGCAAACCATGCTCAGTGTGTATCGAAATTCATCCAAAATATAATAAATCCAGTTTCTTTGTTACCATATTTTTGGTAGTGAAAGGACACCAAGCAGACAGTACAATGTTTTTGGTGATACTGCCCCTCCAGAATAATCTCTCTTAATTCCTTTGGTTTTAAAATGGTCCCTAAAAATATTACTCTGGTCATACTCTGTTTTAGCGAACATTTCCTGTATTGATTGTAACAGGTAGTCCTTGCTTTGCGATCAAAACTGGGATCAGAACCCGTGGTAAGCAATCTGACGGTTAAGAGAGTCCCGTCTGATTTTTTTGATACCCTGTTTCTCCAACAATACGGCCTCCCCCAATAGGAAGTCCCAGCATGTTTTATAGGTATGAAATGAAATTAAGCCCCTCCCCCCAAATTAAGGCCTATATTAAAACATGTGAAATGGGGGGGAATGGGGGGGGGGCTTGCTGTTAGGAAGTACTCTTGTTGCACACCTGGATATGGTGCTGCCTGCGTTGACCCCGATACAAAGTGCCCCACCAACGCCGAGGTCAACATTCAAGCTGTCGCCGCCCACCCGCCCAAAGATGCAAGGGGGGGAATTAAGTCACTCCCGAAAAGACAACCTAGCCATTTTTTCGGGGCTCAAAAAAAAATAAGACCCGGCCTTATTATATGAGAAACACGGTATTTTGTGCTGTAAATCATTAAGCGAATCCAGCTTCCCCATTGACTGTTTACTGGAAGCACCCTGGGAAGATTGCAAATGATGATCAGGGGACCCCGGACACTGTAACCGTGGTAAACCCATGCCAACTGCTTGAATTACTAACATGGGACCATGGGATGCTGCTATAATTGTGAAGGCTGGCTGTAGGTCACTTTTTCTAGCACCATCATGTTTTGACTGGTTGGTAAACAAATGGACATATGTTGAGGACTACTATAATACTAATGCAAGTATTTAATACATTACCAGTAACTGAGAATTTTGTTTAGGATTAGCAGATCTGGGCTACAAAAAGTTCATTGAGTAAGGGTTAGAGATTCTTTGCTTCTTTGATGTTAGGTAGCAGTTATTCAGGTGTTTGCAACCTCAATGTATAATAAGCCTTAGAGTTATTGCTTCCTTTTCTTACAATATGCATTAACTGCCTTCGTGCCCCCCAAAAACATAGACTAAAAAAAATAGGTAACAATAAAATACACCGATGTTAAAAATGGGATTCATCATAGGAGGATTATATAATTTTGAGAAAGCCTTTGGAGAAGATGCAGCATCCTGGTACGAGGGACTCATTTTTGCTTCTTATGGCTAGCATTCAACAAAATGAGTCTGGAAGAGAACAATTTACTATTGGGGGGAAAAGTGTGGAAAATGAACAATTCCAGACAAGGAATGATTATAAATTTGGGGCATTACTGGAAATGCTCAACATAAATAAATTAAAAATAAAACAAAATAAATAAATAAATTCAAAGGGCAGAATTGATGGACCCACTAGGTCTTTTTCTGCTGTTTTCTATGTTTCTATGGGTGGAAGCAGAACTAGCTCATATGTGCTGAAGCGTCTACAAAGAATTTTCCTTTTTATTTTATTTTTAATTTACTCTCCAGCTGAAGGCAAAATGCCTTTTGGAATCTTTTGAAATGGTATCTGCTATTGAGAGTGAGCGCAGCACAGGTACTAGAAGAAGAAAACAAATGAACAAACAAAGCTGGACATCCATTTTTATTTTCATACTTAAAATTTCACAGAATCTGCAGTAAAATTGAGAGGAGATGCTAAAAAAAAGAAACGGGAGTTTCTCTCTAAAATCACGTGCTACCTAATGTTTTACTCCTTAGGCACTGTTTGACTATAATACTACACCTGACTTATATTTAATTTTTTAAAAGCCTTACTCTTAAATAGGCAATTTCAATTTACTGTCACAATTTCACAAACTTATATATTATAATGCCAAGTTTAATACAAACATTGGGGTTTCTTTTGTCATCTAAAAGACTGGAAAAATATTTCTCCGAACATTTGTCTCATTTACAATGACAAAAAATGAGGTTTGTGGAAATCTTCACAATCCAGGGTATCTACAGCTTTTTTACACCGGATTCTCCTATCTAATCTCAGTTAAATTACATCATTCACCTTCAGTTTTGATACCAATAAACATTCAGCCTTGAACCTATTTTTACAAGCTAGAGTTGCAGGTTCTCATTCAGCTGGAGCACATTTTTTTCCAAATAATAAAATTATAATATCTGTAAGAAGTCTCTAAATCTGGACATGTTTCTATAATGTTCCCCCAATTCTGTCCATCTATTGACTTGTGAATGTTTACACAACGCTTATGCAAAGAGGATGCAAAGAGTGATAGGCCATATGTGACTGCTTACCTTACCTTCTGGCACAAACCTTCCACCACCAGCAGAGATGAGAATATCAAACTCATATTGGCTCAAGGGAGAGGAGCCAGGCTGCAGGTCAGCTCTCCATCCACTGACTGTAATATAAAGATGAAATCAAGACTCTGGCCATGATGGCAGCAAATCAACTCCTTGTCACAGACATGTGTGTTTATAAAGGAATCAGAAGCACATTCTACTGGCTTAAAGACCTGTGGCTGGCTGAAAAGTAAGTAACAGTCCAACCTATTTTGGCCCTTGCTAAGAATTAATGACCCAATTTAAAATTAATTCCCACACTTTTGCTTAGAGAGAAGCAATTTTGCTTACAGAGGGACCTTTAGCCATACTTTAAAACAGGGGTGTCCAACCTTGGCAACTTTAAGACTTGTGGACTTCAACTCCCAGAATTCCTCAGCCAGCAAAGCTGCTTTAAAATATCAGGAAAAAAAATCATGAAACTGGAATTGTTTTACAGGCTAAAACTTTAGAGCCATGAGTAATCAAGAAGATTGGAAATTATTGGGGAGAAGCAACCAGTGCTGATTTCTTTCTGGTTTTATTATATGGAAAGTCTGGACATCTTTAAACCAAACAGAATATAATTGTGGCAGTTTCTCACTCTGAAGTTCTGAAGGACCATCCCAGGTATACATTTGTAAACCTGAGTTCTTCTTGTCCTCTCACAGGACTATCAGTGTCAAATAAATGTTAGAATTATATCAGGGCTCAAATGCAACTGAACACTTTTTAGCCCCAAATGTTCCAATTGCATTGCTTCTATGAATTTTATCTTAATACAGCAGAAAAGCATTTCAGTTTTAACAAGAAAGCAGGAAAACCTATTATTTATGGAGAAAAGCCAATTCTCAGCACATACGTTTCATAAATCTCAGCAGTTTTTCTCCTGGGTGTTTGAAGAAAATACCTCTTTGTTTGTTTGTTTACTTTCATTTCTATGTAGCTTGATTCCTTACAGCAAGCCACCATAGCATAGGGATAAAAAAAAAATCAGTAATAACAATTAATTGCAGTCCCCATTTGCTTCACCGTAAGTCATACAGTAGGTAGGATAATACTGTCCCAAATGCTCTCCTGAAAAGTAATGCTTTCACAGTTCTTCAGAAACATAACAAGGAGCAAGTGGTTAAAATGTCTGAGGATAGGCTGATCCATTTGCCATATAAGTGATGGAGAACAAAATTGGGTAAGATACATTGCCTTTAAATACCCAAAAGAATTGAGTATTATTGATATTCTTACCCTGCCCATGAGAGTTCACTACTGGTAGAATGAGTCCCTTAAATTGTACACCGATGTGAACATGAACACCTAACAACAAGGCTACTTTCAGCAGGATCAACTGCAGCTGACGGATACCTACAGATACAGTAGGAGCACACAAAGAGAATTGGTTAAAACAGAAGAAGATGTGCTTTGAAAGTTTCAATAGTCTTTCTATCCTGCTTCTTCAAAATTCAACTTTTGCTTTTATTGTGTGTCCCAGGGAAAATAATTACCTATATCTTTGAAGATATAGGTACGCCATGGCATCAGAATATGTTTTCCAAGGCCTTCACTGCTATGTATCGTTAGTCTACAATGTATTTCTTGACTGCAGGTTCATTTTCTGTTGATAGCTGATGCTAACACACAGAAATATCCATCACTTCAACATCTGAATTGGGTATTCTAAGGTGGGTAGCTATTACTAGTTTTAACTTTTTTATATTTATTCTTAATTCCATTTTTTTTCACATCGTGCTTGACTTTCTTTATTAAAACTTTCAGCTCATTTACATGTTCAGTTGTCAGACTTGCATTATCAGCATAACATAGCTAAACTTTCAAGTACTTTTTCCTGCCCCTCCTAAAATCTATCCTGTCCCCAAGATGTCTGCAAACCCTTTGTGCTGATATTGCTGGCGCTTGCTTAACAGCAATCCTGTGATATTACAGGCACTCTTCCTAACATACTTACTGATGTGATCCAAGGATCCAGTGCAGAAACGGCCATAGAATTTCTTGGCTCCAAGGGCCCGCAGGTCCTGGATAGTGAAAGGCCAAAGGTGTAGCACATTGTTTCGGGAAAAGTTATCTCTCTTCTCTACCACCACAACGTGTGCTCCAAGGAAAGCCAATTCAATAGCTGAGCGGAGACCACAGGGCCCTGATCCGATGATCAGACACTGAAAAACATTGTCACAATGAACAGTCAGACATAAAGAATTTGGCAAGACAACGCATACTCAACGGCACTGAAGCTAGACAGGAACTTTACACAAGACTGAGTGGTATTCAAACTAGGAGCCACAATATGGTCTGTGGGATAGAAAGAGACATTACAGAGTCCTCCCTCAGTTCCACATTTTTCCTTTCCTTTGCTGTGGACAAAGGAATGTTAGCTAACTGTTATAGTGGAACTTCCCTGATAATAAATTATCATTTACAATAATTGCTCACAAGTAGCTCACTAGTTCTGTTGACAGTTAAAGGAAGCATTCTTCTATTCAGTCAGGCATCCTCTTCTATTCAAAGAAGAGAAAAAGTCCTACTTTAATCTTAGTGAAAGTTGGAATATAGCAACATTAGAAGTAATTGAAATGTAATATTTTTAATGTGCAAGCATTGAAAAATACTTGGTTGCTTGAAAAATTGGACCACCATTTTTAAAAAAATTAAACGATATTTCCAGCCTCCAGGCAACCAAACATCCAAGTCCTGTTATGTCTCTTGACAAGTCACTGCAGACCCAGATGAGACTGCTACAAACTGTCCCAGGGCCAGAATATATATTTAAGGTTTATCTTGACCATCAGACAAACATACCTGCTGATCTGTGTTCAAAGAATCCATGGTGAAACTGATGGGAATAAATCTGCAAGTTGTTATCAGTAATGATGTTCACATAGCCAGAATTCAAACAGTATTTCCCACTAACTTGTTGAAATGCAATTTCAACTTTCTACACTATCAAATACTTGAAAAGCTCCAAAGTATCTTCCCAGCAACAAAACAAAAAGGCAATATTTCTGAAATACAAATGAACTTTATGATTAAAAAAAATGTAAAAGTCAGGATAGCTTGACCTCAGATTGAGCCAACTTGCTTCGTGGCTAGTATTCCTTTATGTCACAAAGTGGATGGAGCAGCTAATTACTCCTTTGATCTAATTTTGTAATTTCAATTAATGTTCATAGTTTTAAACATTAAAATATTTGCAATTTTCATGGGATATTTGTTTCTTTTAAAATACTTGCAGTTTTCTTGAGATGCCTGTTTCTTTTTATTTGTGTTTATGTCTAGGTTTTTTTTTGTCTCCTGAGAAACTATAATTTTGTTGCTAAAAATAATGCTTATTCATGTACTATGTAAAAAAGAATAAGCAGTTATATTAGTGCAATTATTTTTGATTATTGTTAAATGTAGAAACACATTTGAGGGAATTCAGTTTTTTCATTTTACAGAATTATGAACAGCTTTAAAGGAAATACTTTTCTTCTTTGAAAAATATAGATTAAAAAATGCAATCATCAGGGATGTGGGGTTTTGATAGGAGTATAGGAATGAAGAAAACCATCTGTAAATAAGGAACCAGAAACTTATAACACTGAAAGACAAACCTAAACCTCTTCATACCAAACAGCAGGAAAATTAGTAACAATACCCAGGCATCAAGTATGAAACTAGCTTTTATACTGTCTAGACTTATAATTATTACACATATAGACATATACCTTTGCATGTAGAAGAACTAAATATGCTATACTACCAAACTATAAAGTGTCTTCATAATTTAACCAAAGGAAAGTTAGTACTAGTAATCAGACACCAGTCATGAAGCCAGTTATTACAATGTCTAGATCCTAGTGTCTTAGCATCTCATATGGAAACCTATCAAAAGGAATCTGAATAAGATTGCAACTATGACATGACTTTTTACCTTGGTGTTTGAACATGCTCTTCCTTGGTCATAGTCTCTGTGTCCAGCCTTCTTGTCCAACTTGGTCCACAAAGCTTTAGCACTCCAATAATTGATAGAAGACTTGAGCTTGTGATAGAAATGGATCTGGCCAGTGTGTTCCAGATTCAGATAACTGCACAGCTCTTCAAATCTGCTCAAGACCTCTTTGCACTGCTTGGCATGCAGAAAGGCATCAAAGAGAGAATGGGACTGATTTGGTTGCTCTCCATCTTGCTGAGTCATTCTCCTGGGACTTCAGGGGCAAGAATGAAACCTGGAAAAGAAAACAGAAGATTAAAGATGTGTATCAATGTTCCTGTGCCCAGAAGTGATGGAGGAACTAAAGGCAAAGTACAACTCCATTTGTGCCTCCATTTGAGGCTGACACTTAGGAAGAGGAATGTGGAGTCCCACCACTCCTTTGCTTTTAGAAGCAGGTATTTTTCAGGCAATGCCTCTATTTGAGCTCTAGATGTACTCAACCTTAGCATAAGGTGTTGAGGATACTGGGGTATTCTGCCATTATACATGTTTAAGACTCTTCAGAGTTGCTCAGTAGCCAAAAGAAGAGACATAATAAACCAAACCCAGAAAATCACATAGTATTATTCTTAGCTATTCTATAGCAGATGCCAGTTGTTTTCATAATGGGAAAAAAACCAACCATGAGTGTCAACATTGATTCAAATAAAGACCTTTCACTTTTTTTCTGCTGAGAATCATTCCTAGTTGGGTTTTTTATTTTTATTTTTGGCTCCACACATTGTTAGTGCAATTTAGAACAATTTTACTACTATTACCTTACATCATCAACCGAATCTAAAAGATATGACAATCTAAAGAGACTTGTGAAACATTTTATCTTTGAATTATTTCAAGCTTCAGATATCCTGTGTGTGAAACAGATGTTTAAGTGCAAAAAAAGCCATTTTGAAATATGTTTTCAGCTTGAAATACTTCCCAAAATGTTCTACCCCTAGTTCAGGAAGCTTTTGAGCACAAAGCAAAAAAAAATTTAGTCTAAAACTGTTCAGATTCAAACTATCGGTCTAATGCCATCTTGCGAAGCAAATTCTAACCATAGAACTTCTGGTATAGGCTTAGCCTCTTAACTACTAAGTTATTGACCTCAATGTCAAGCTCAAACAAGCCATTGGAATTATTATAATATGGAGGGGATTAAACATGGAGCAAGATGATGAATTAGCTAAGCAAAGACACAGAACTATAGCACATCCTCAATAACTAATGTTTCTGTGCTTTATTTTTCCTAATTAGAACCATGAAGAAGGGAAGGTTGATTTTAGTTAAAATACACAGACGTAAAAAGTTAACTTTTTATCCTTTTATTGTTTCACAAATCTGAATTGTCTATTTCACAGCTAAAGTTTGTTTCACGTGGAAGAAAAATACAGGTAAGATAGAAATTATACCCCGACTCCCAGCTTACAATATTCCTCTGATCAAATTAGCAATCATCTTTTTTATAGCAGGGCAAGTAACTTAGAAGGAGGCTTTCTTCAAACAGGAATAGTGTGAGACCTTCCTTCCCACACATTGTCTAGGAATCATGTACAAGGGGCATACATTTCAGTCATGCTTCTTCTTTTTTCAGTCTTGGTTAATAACTGCAATAATTTGCATAATTTGTCAGACTTGCTGCTTATAGTCAGCACTACTCATGCAGTCCTGAATTGGAATTACCAATGACCAAATTCGTGACTTCCATCCCATTCTTCATTCTTTTTCTTCCTACACAACTCTGAAGTTAATAGCCACAAAACATTTCTCCTCCCCACCCCACTTAGAAGGTTCTGACATCTAAATCTGTCTTAGATATTTTCTTTTGGCAAAATTTAAGTTTTTGTGCAAATTTTAATATTGTATTATTATACATAAATATGAATACTAAAGAGTGCTTTAAAATAAAACAGATAGAGGAGCTAGATCTTCTGACAAAAACCAAGCGCCATTCATCCCACTTCTATTCCAGGAGCATTTTCACAGACTCAGTACTAGTGCCGTACACTATGTCAGAAATTCATATATCTGCTTTGTTCTCCAACATGATACAAATCATCTCTTGATAGCAAAGTGTTATAATTCTGCAAGAAAAATACACTATTAAAGGAACACTTTAACTTAGAACATCATAGACCTTAGGACGGTCTTTCTCAACTAAAGTTACTTGTACTGAAAGGCAGGTTTTGCCAGGAAAATTCTTAACCACTTTTCTTCAAGAAGTTCAATGTTTAACTGCTGTCACTTGAGCAGAGATAAAGGTTTTTCTTTAAAAAAAAAATCACACTGCATGCATACATTAGCTCATTGGTTCATGGAAAGTTTCTGCTGTCACCCATCAGCTGCTTCTGAATGGCTGTAGTTGACCCAGAAAATTAACATCGTATTTTTGGCATATCATTGCCTTGACTTGTTTACAATTTCATTCCTCCACATATGTGTTTATGCAGTTTCAACTCAGTTTAATGCATCAGTGATTTTATGAAATTGTTCAGATAAATCTATGGCGCATTACAAAAGTTTTTATAGTGATTCTTAAAGTGATATGATTCTTTATAATTTTCATATAAAATAACAGTCGTTTATTTTATTTAAAATAGATATTCAAAATTTCTGACTAGGATAAATCATTCTACACTGTTATCAACTAGAATGAGCAATTTTCTTTCTCCCTCCCTCCCTGCTCCAGACGATATCCTGTAATCACTTGTACAATTAAGCTCTATTCAGTCTTTCATTTCTGTGAGGCAGAAAACTATTTGGGTGTATCTGATGTGTAAATTATACAAACATGGAAGAAAATGAACCAAGACCACAAAACTGATTAACTGCCAGATCCAAACTAGGAGTCAAAAAGATCTGAGGATCCAGTGTCTTCCCCTGTTCCTGCACTCTTGAAGTTTTTTTTAAGCATCAATACTCTATTGCTGTTTGAAGCTGGGTTGACTTTTACTACATATACTCTGTTTACAAAGCTTTTCAGCAGGAGAGAGTTGTTAGCATAGGCATTCTACTGAGGTATTGCATGATGTGGTCAACATAGCATGTGACCTGAGCTTGAAGCAAAATCCTTCGGCAGTGATGAGAATTTTCCTCCCTAGGAAAGAAATCTGTTTCTAAATGGAAACATTAAAAAATCAGATGAGATATTTATGATTAACCAATTCCACCATGAAATTATTTATGTAATATCCTAAACAATCAGCCACTCTCCTCAGTCAAGGAAGGGATGTTTCTGACTTAGCTGTATATTTATTTAATAAATATTAAAGCTCCATAGCACTAGAGGTCTTTATATAGCTATCATGAACATTTATTGTACTCTGTCTATTCAACTGATTCATTAATCAAAGGTCCAGTTGGAAGTAGAGACTCTAGGAGTAGCTGTGGGAAGCAACCTGGCCTCAGAAGAACTTTCTCAATACTGCATTGAAGAGAGGATGCCATGCTACCATGATGTGTTAGATTTCTCTAATCATTCTCTAATCATCATTAATTAAATTCTCTATAACTCTAGACAACTTATATTTTTATTGGCTCCCTTACCTATCTTTGTTTTGGATTTATAGGTACTTAAGATCTGTGAAAATCTCTACAATTTGATCTCTATGATTTGATCATTCCAATTATTGAGAAACTTAGCACCATATCTACGCCATATACATTCTTATTTTTTGTCTGTATTTTTTCCCCCACAAGTCAATCTGGAAGGTCTACCAACCCCAGATAGCAGAGACAGTGCTTGCAGTTTCTCACTGAGTACAACTCAGAGAGCTTGTAAAGAAGATCACCAGATCACCAGACATACACATGCAGATTTTCCCAAACAATGCAGACTTTTAAAGAAATAGCACCTGAATTAATTATGTAATTCACTTGATCTAGAGATGACTTTCCACCAAAGTCCTTGGCTGGTATACAAAATGCTAAAAATCTAAAAAGAAATAAAAATATATAAAACATAAATCTAATTAAAATAAAGTTATTTCATCACTTTGGTAAGAGGCTTAAACCTTTTTAAAATGGAAAAAAAAAACCAATGTAGCCCAACTGAAAATGATATTTTACAAACTTTATGTCTCATTTGGAAAGTAGAAGAATGGCACTAAATGGCAGATGAGTCAAATTGGACTATGGAGGCTACCATACATAGCAACTCAGAATATGAAGATTATCAAGCAATCCTTCCAGAACAAGTTGAAAACCATTAACTGAACTGGACGAACCATTCATAAACAAGAACTGTATTATTTAAATTATTGTTGTATCTACTCAGCCCTTCTTTCATTGCCTTAACTTTCTGTCCATTAAATGCACCTTCCCCATTTTGTAAAGAATATGACCACTGAATTTCAATTTTTCTTGAATTTCAGAAAGGTTTTGAGATCCTTTAAATTGGAATGGGACAACTCGCCATGGCCAACTCATCGCAGCCATCTCATCGCAGCCACCTTGCCACAGGACAACTCACTGAAGCCAATTTGCTGCCAGACAATTTCACATGGGACAACTCAACATGATAAAGGTTATCCGCCACTGTTTCTTCAGTGTTATTTCTATTTTTGTAGAAATGGACAAAAAAGAAAATAATGTCAAAGAAAGAGTGGTGGACAACATTTAATGTGTTGAGATATCGAACTGTCCACATCAAACTGTCCCACAGCAAATTAAATGTGGTGAATTGTCCCATGGCAAGTTGGCTGTGGCAAGATGGCCATGGTAAGATAGCCATGGCAAGTTGGCTAAATATATGGAACGTCCTGTGTGAAGCCCTACTCCCAGTTTCAATGTTAGCTGCTGCTGCCCCAGCTCATAAAGGTATAGCTAACTCTGTTTTACATCTGGAAAATTGCCAGAAAAATCTCAAACAAAAGGTTTTTGCTAAGAATATATAAGAAGCTGGTGGTAGAGGTAAAGTGATAGCTCAAACTGTCATTTTTGCAATAAAATCCTTATCTGGATCTTAATGCTAGATCAGTTCCACATTGCAAAACAAACCCAATACTCTCCTCCCTATTCTAACTTAGAAATGTAGCATCCAAACTTGTTTACCAGGTTGTCCAAGTTTCTAAAAGCCTCATCCACAGGTTATAAACTTGTTCTTGAACTGTATTGCAAAGTATTTAAATTCCTTCAGATACGAATCTTGGATTGTAAAGATCACATTGAACACTCATATGGAAACCAGAGATGATCGGATGACGGGAATATTTCCCTTTTGGGGAAAGATGAGGCGGTGGTGGGGCAGCAGCTATGGAGTACCTTAGAAGAAAAGGGTAACCACAATTCTCTAGAATCAAGATTCAGGACTGGATGTAGAAGAAGAAATGGCATTGATTGCACTAGTAGATTACTTTTATTGGGAAGTGATGTTCCTACTCTTTTTCCAATCTCTCAGCTGCATTTGATACTATTAAATACTATTAATCACAGTAGCATTCTGGACTGGCTGTAGTAGGAAGGGATTGGAGGCACCGTGTTGCCCAGGTTCCACTCCATCCCTTGTGGATAGTTCCTATTTGGGGGTTGAGGATGGGCCCAATAGCTATTTCCTTGTGTGGGTCCAAGGGTTGCTTCTCTCTCCTATCCAAGCTAATATTCACAGAAAGGCACTGGATAAGGTCTCTGAAGATTTGGCATGATCAATATGCTACTGAGTGATTATGTGCCATCAAGTCATTTTCAACTCCTAGTGATCAAATAGATAGATTTTCTCCATGCTGATGATGGTGATGTCATTGAAGTCCTGCTTGAGTGCCTGGAGGCTGTAAGAATCTAGATCAGGGATGTCAAACATCACGTGACGTATTGGGACTTTTTCCAGTTTTGCTAAACTGGGCGTGGGCGTACCCAGCGCGTGATGCATCCCGCTCACAGGCTGGGGGTTTGACAGCCCTGATCTAGATGGATGAGAACAGGCTTAAATTGAATCTTAGTACTGAGAAATTACTGTTTGTTCACTGGGATTTCCAGTCCGGTGGTGTCTCTTTACTGGATAGCACTAGCACTGAGAAAGCAGGTCCATGATCTGGCGGGTCTTCTGGACGCATGGCTCCTACTAGGAGAAAAGTGAGACCTTTGCTTAGTTTGGGCTGGTGGGTCAGTTAAGCCTCAAGAGCAGGGAATCTTGCTACAGTCACTCATGTCCTTGGCATCTCTTGCTTAGATTTCTGAAATATGTTGTTGATGGGAACGCTTTTTAAGATCATCCAGCAGTGATTAGCCCATCTGCTGATAGGCATAGAAACACCCTGTACCAATGTTGCAGTCTCTTTGCCGATTGCCAGTACGACTGACGATGTAGTTATCAGGAGTTAAGAGTGACTCCTTGACGTCAAGTGAACCAACATTAGAAACCTTTATCTACCTTTTTACAGGTAGTCCTTGACTTACAACTATTTATTTAGTGACCATTCGAAATTACAATGGCACGGAAAAAGTGACATAATCGCCTTTTGCGATCTTCTGACAAGTAAAGTCAATGAGAAAGTCAAATTCAGTTAACAACCGTGTCAATTAAGGTTGTAAAATGGGGCAAAACTGACTGAACCACTGTCTTGCTTAGCAACAGAAATGTTGGGCTCAACTGTGGTCACAAGTTGAGGACTATCTATGCTGACAAAATAAATTATGGATAACCATGGAAGGAAAAAAATGTTTCTATGTGTCCCAAATTCTATCCAGGGCAGAAATTCAAGGGCAGAAATTCAAGTTTCTGGTCTTCTTCCTCATATCAAGTAATTTATTCTTTGTCATCAGTAGATCACTGATACTGAGCCTTCACTGAGTTTCCTCTTCATTTATCCAGTGATGATGCTGGCACAGATACAAGATCACCAGGAGTTTTTCCTTCCTACACTCTTTTAGAGTGTAAACAAGAAAAGAGAAAGATCAAGGCACAGCCAACACTTCTAGTTTAGAAATAAATGTAAACTACAGCACAGATACATTTCTCAGACTGTTGAAACCCTAGAAAAATAAAGTTAATATAGAATGCAACTTTTATAACAGTTGGCTCAACTTAATACCTTCCCAATACATTGATATCCAAGTGTACAAAATTTCAAGTTAGCACAGAAGTTATCATCTCAATACAACCCAGTGCAGTTTTAGAGATCTGTGGTCTTATCAGTGCTCATAAGATAGAAGGCAATGCTTGCCATAACCATTGTTTTTCTGTAGAAGAGCCCAAAGGGCAATACACAAAAGAATTCATACTGTCATTCACTTGGTCCTAATGCTATCAATTTGGCCAAGTGTGATTTCAAGTGAGTTCAAGGGATCTGAGCATTCACATTGCAACTGGCCATATCAAGGACTCAGCAGAAGTACTTTTTTGATTGAACTTAATTGTTTTTCTACAACACTTCTGGAAAAATCAAACACCAATTAGTAGGTGCAGACTGTGAAGCAAGCCTTACAGTCTTGCCGTTTGACACCACCCTTTAGCTGCAGTATTAAAAAGTGTGCACTTGCCAAGATTGTTAAGTGAGAACTGGAGTCACACACACACACACACACCAGTTTATGAAGAAGCAGAAATGCCCATACTAGATGGGGGAATGAGGAAAACTTTAAATCCAACCAGCTTCAGGAAGGTGACATCAGGGATTATGTTGTTACGACCAAGTCTCTTTCCTTCTGGGGTTATTTACAAGAGCTAAAGAGCAACAGATGAAAGATAAGCTTCAGTTCAGTTCAGTATCTAAGTTTCCAGAGACCAAGAGGAAGGAAGTGTATGTGCTAACTTTCTTAAGCTTTTGCTGCGATGGGGTGCAGAAGGTGTTGCTGCTCACTGATTGGGTCCACTTCATGGCAAGGTGTATTTTCTCAGCTTGGCATAACAAACAAAACCAGTCAGTGGTTTGCAAATACCGGTTTTATGCCTTAGTATATCATGTCAACCAGTGCAGTTAGTTTATTCAGTAAATCATGGTTAAACAGACCATAATTTACATGGGTAAGCCTAGCCTCTGCTAATGTAAATTCAGATACAAAGGTTATACAGGTTGTCCTCAACTTACGACCACAATTGAGCCCAAAATGTATGTTGCTAAGTGAGACATTTGTTAAGTCAGTTTTGCCCTATTTTACGACTTTTCTCACCACATTTGTTAAGTGAATCACTGCAGTTCTTAAATTAGCCACACAGTTGTTAAGTGAATTTGGTTTCCCCATCGACTTTGCTTGTCAGAAGGTCGCAAAAGGAGATCTCATCAACCTGGGACACTGCAACGGTGATAAACGTTGAGTCAGTTGTCAAGCATCCGAATGTAAATCATGTGACCATGGAGAGGCTGCAACGGTCGTAAGTGTGAAAAATGGTCATGTTACTTTTTTCAGCGCTGTTGTAACTTGGAATGGTCACTAAATGAACTGCTGTAAGTCAAGAACTACCTGTAGTGCAAAAGAAGTAAATCTGGAAGTACACAATAACTATATCTTTCTTCTCTCATTGTCTAGCTGAAAATTGAGCATTGTGAGCCCGCCCAGAGTTGTGTTTTAAGACAGGCAGCCACACAAATTTTTACAATGTAAAAATGAAATGCTTTAAAAAAAAAAAAGCTCTCTGTTGAAAGCTGTCAATGGGATTAAAGGGCCTTGATTATCTCTCTACACTGAGGACAAAAAGTCCATTTTCTCCAAGCATAGAGATTCAGCAGCAGTGAATCAGAATTTTTGGGCCAGATCCAAAAGCTTACAAGAATTAGCCAACGGTTGAAGGCAAAGCGACAATCTGCCAAGGTTGAAGCCAGGCGTGAGTTCTAGATAATAGCAGCTTGAAGAGAAGGTTTTTATAGCTACCCAGAGATTCAATGATTCTACAATCAGTTTCTGTAGTAGTCCAATTTTCTGACCGAAAGGAGGAAACACAAGAGGAGTCAGACCGCAGATCTAACTTCTCTTTAAAACCAGCTGAGACCAACTCTTCCCATCCTTACTAGGCAGGAGGGCTCGCAACCTGCCCACAGAAGCTAGTAAAACAGAACATCAAGTCGTTTTCCCGCTTCTGCTGAATCCAAAATACTGCTGTAACAGAAAAACGCCCGGGTGCTATCACAAGTCCCAAGTCCTGTGATCAACCAGCAGCGAATTTAATAAGAAGCGGGGAGTCCTCCATGCCTACAAAGACCTTCATCTTTAATTCAACTCTTAGCCTTCCAGTTCTTTAGATTCCCCTCATCCTGGCCAGCCTCCCTTGCCCTGGAAGGAAAAGGGTCTGCCTTTCCTTTTGTTGGTGTGGCGGAGCCAAGCACTCTGCATATGCTTAGCAGCACCCTGTTTTATTGTCGATTCATATTCCAGGCTACGGCCGCCTCCCCACCCCCCCTAACTCCACCTCCAGACTTACCCGCGGTCGTTCCGGCCAGGCAGAAGCGCACAAAGATGCGGCCCTTCTTCCCCAGATAGGGAAGCGGCGGAAAAAGCCCCCCTTCCCGCCGGTTCTCCTTTGGCGATTGAAGTAGCGCCGGGCGCCGTTTCTTCCGCCGCGGGGATTCCGCTCTCGGCTGGGAAGGACCTGCTGGGAGGTCAAGATGCCCCTTGCCCTCCTGAGGCAGGGAGGGGGAAAAGAAAAAAAGGAGCTGTTTCCTCCCGAGCTCCGCAAGAAGCAGACGGAAGGAGAGCACCGGGCACGGACTGGGAGAGGAACGGGAGCCACATCGCCGCGAAGGCGGGGCTTCCCGGCCGGCCGGGCGTTTCAAAAGTCCCTGAGCGACGTGGGCTGGACCCTGAGAGCTTATTGGTGTCGTGGGTGGGAGTGGGTTTTTCGCGCGCTTTCGTGGAGCAGACGGGGCCTGGAAGGTGGGCTGTCGCCCCCTCCTCCTTTTAACGACGGTAGAGCCGTTGGAAGGTGGGGAGGGGGAGAGGGACTTGCCTCCCGGAAAAATGTAGCTCGGTGCTTAAAAGAGACCGAGAGATCGCTACCACAGTATTTATTTTAACTAATCAATTAAAGAATAATTCCAAGACTTTAGACAGTGTTTCAGGTTTCCTCCTTCCTTCAATACAGTACATTGAAAACGAAACGGAGAGGGGGGCGGGAGGAAATGCACGGACATAAAAGATATTTTAACTTCAGAAGTTGTGGGAGCTTCATCACTGGAAACTTTGAAGAAGAGACTGGACTGCCATCTGTCCGAAACGGTGTAGGCAGGCAGGGTCTCCCGCTTGGGCGAGGAGGGGGGCGGCGGTTCGACTAGATGACCTACAGGGTCCCTTCCAACTCTTGTTATTGTGTTCTGTTCTACATACTGAAGGGGTGGGTGTGTTTCAAATGAACAGTCGCCTCCCTCTTCCCCAGTTTCTCAAATTTCTTAGAAAACTCTCGGGATTGCATTTCTGACTTGAGACAAAGAAACGAGATCTTCTTCTTTCGCATAAGATTAATCCGTTTAACGGGTTTATAGTTTAGTTTTACCGGGCTCCATCTGGAGATCTGTAAGGGACGAAGATGAAATATAAGCGAAAAATAAGAAGTGGTTTTAAAGAACTGATCACGTGTGGAACAAATAATAAACAGATGCACTTCCTGCTCCTGCAGAGTGACAAAATGCAACCACACTTTCCTCTTCGTTGCTCAATATGAGAACTGAGCAATAGATATTACAAACGATTTCCTGTACATGTGAAACCTTTTGCAGGCACTGTTAGAACTTGGTGCTCTCTTGAGTTTGGTTTTTTTTCTTGCAGAAGTTTCATTACCCAAACTAGGCAATATCATCAGTGCTAGTCACTCAGAATTTAGGTCTCATTTTGATTCAAGGCACTGACATCATTCTTTCCCAGAAAAAACTAGCCAGAAATAGTTCAACTTAATCTTAGAATGCATGTGGTCATTGTGATGGGCTGCAGTACAATACAGGAAATTCAAAATCAACATAACAAAGAGAAAAAGAGAGGACAGAATTTGTTCATAAGAAGCAACATTCCTTTTTTTAGCCTCAAGCACTTAAACTTGTTTGAAAGTCGTATAGTAAAAAAAATTGAAACCGCTAACCAAAGATAGCATTGTACATACTGAATTTTATAGCATGTGCAAAATAAGCACATGTATATGATTTTTTATATATTATTTAAGCTAATGAAGAAATGAAATACAGTTATGCAAGTAGAATCTTTGCATTCAGAACCTTGATTTTGACTTCTGAGACTTTATGTTTTCAAAAGTCAAAAGTTTGTTTCTAAATCTAGAAAGTGATAGTCAAAAGATATTCCAGCTGTATGAATAATATCCATTTATACTCTGATGTAATAAATCTATAGAACTACAGAATATATTCTGCCAGAATACAGGCAGGCAAAATCATGAGTAGCTTTGAAAAGGAAGAACATTCAATGTAGAGCTGGAAAAGTATATTAGTTAGACTACCTTTTTTCCAAAAAATAGATATGCACAGTAAATCAACATTGTATCTCTTGCTCTCTTCAATATTACTCTTTGTTACTTTAGTTATAAATAATCAAGAGGCTCAGTCACCATTCTTATGCAGAAAAGTTAGAATATTTGGGATTGGATTCTTTAGCCTGGAAAAATGTGACTGACAGAGAAACTATGTGATGGTATAGCGTACAATCATACATTTTCTTCCTCTGTTAAAACACCAGAACCAAAGATCTTCCAACACAGCTGAATGGAAGGAGATTCAGAAAAGGCAAAAATATTTCATCCAGCACAATTAATCTTTAGAATTCACTATTTCAAGGCAGAGGTGACAACCACTATGTTCGATGACTTTTAAAAGAGGACTTGATAAATAAAAGAATATCAGTGTTGGAGATTCAATATTACCTCTGTGTTGGGGTGCAGCATGCCTTGACATATTTTTGTGTCCATAATTTTTCAGTGTTCTTTTTAACAAAATTCTGTAGTATGATGGTAAGCAATATAATTCCATAAATGTTAACAGTAATTTAATATTGGAGAAATGTAATAGTTTCTATGTAGTTTCCTAATGAGTTAAACAGTTCTCTAGTTTGGGACATGGCCAACCCCCTCTGGAGGACTCTTCCATTAAATAAGCCACAAACGAAACACCTCTTCCTAACCTCAGCACCCTCTTCCCCCAATTTCACAACAATGAGACTTTACCAACAATTTCCCACATATAGTGCATATTAGATAAGTTGATTTTGGTTTAAGAAGATGGTCTGAAAGTGCCTTGCTTCCTAGGCCTATAAGGCTTTATAGACTATAGCCAGCCCTTTTAAGTTGCACCCAAGACCTAATGGAAATCAGCATAGGAACAAAAATAGAGATGTAATATGTTTGCAATGTCTAGTTCTTGTTAGCAAACAGAAATGATGTGCCAACTGTATTTCCAGACTGGTCTTTAAAAACAGACCCTTGTGGAATGCATTGCTGTAGTTCAATCAAATAGTCCCAAAAGCAAAGCTGATTGTTGAGGGGGTGTTTTGCTCCAGGTGTTTTGCTTCAACTAGCACATCTGCAGCTAAGTTCCAAGTTATGAATCTGCTTCCCCAGCTACCACTTTGAGAGACGTTACTGGAATCAGCCAAGAACATCAATGGGCAGAGAGTAGTTCTGTCTTGGGTTTAGCTTCAAAAGGTTTCTTCCAGCCCAGATGGCTTCTACAGATTGGAACAGGACTTCAGTTATATATGTTTCCATCTCATATTTGCATGTACCACGATATTAGTCTTCCATTCTTGTATTCTCCTAATTCTCAGAGACCCCATTTAAACAGCAGCATTTATCACATTTTATTTAGTAGATTTGACATTTCAGGGGAGGAAGGAGTTTGAGAGTAGTATATTTTTGCTTCTTCTTTTTTTGGAACACATCACGCTTATAACAAGGATTAAAGGCACCACTTCCTTAGTAGCAATCAGCAGAAGGCAGATTTTTTTCAAGCCTGATACTCTCCAATCATGCTGGGGCAATCCCCAAATTTGCAGAGAGCACATAACTTGTCTATATCTCAACCCATCTGGAGGTTCAGCCACAATAGGAACTGTCTTGGCTTCTTGTTTTGTAATAAAAATAAAAACGATCAATCTGTTTCCAACCACGCTTAGAAATAGCTGTTCCTTAGGGGTATACTATTACATTAACATTTCAACATGACTTACAGGAGATGGCGCATCCCTAGCCCCTGTGCTAAGTACGTTCTGGAAAGTATGCTTGGTTTACAGGTGATATGTCAGTCAATGCCTCGGATAAGCTTTGTTGACTCTCAGTGATTTTTCATCATCTTTATTTGCATCCGTTCCTCAGATAAATAAGACATGGTTCCAAATTCTTAACAACATGTTATGGCATTAGTCAAATGGGAAGGGCATCCATTCTCAGTCCCACCCTGTTACATTCAGGGTTCTGTCAGGTGAGACAAAACTCTCTGCCATTCTTCAAACCCAATCCTACACACGTATCTTTGCTTCAGTCTCATGCAGTTTCCCAAACATGATAGGGTTATAGCCTTCAGTTTGCAAATAATGAAACAGTTTATTTTTCTCCTTCTCAAATATTGTTATTGCAATTATGTTCTGGGTGAGCCACGTTGCCACCTATTAGTGGGAAGGAATGCTGCTCAGCACATTTCCTCATTGGTGACTTTGATAAATATCACTCTCATATTGAAGTTCCATTTCAAAGATTGTTTTAATCCCAGGATTGTAATGTATGCAATTACGTATTTCTACCATCTTGAATACGAAAAATCTCTCTGTTAAAAACCCAAGGACATCCCTTTTTTAGGCAATGACAATTATTCACATTATATATTAATATATTAATAAAGAGTTGTAAGCATTACCCCATTATTATAGTATCTCTTGAGCCGCGGTGGTGCAGTGATGAGAATGCAGTATTCAGCCTTCCATCCTTCTGAGATCGGTAAAATGAGGACCCAGATTGTTGGGGTCAATATGCTGACTCTAAAACGCTTAGAGAGGGCTGTAAAGTACTGTGAAGCGGTATATAAGTCTAAATGCTATTGCTGCTGCTTAGCAAACATACTTACCGAGCTAAAACTGTATCACCTTTAGTAGAATTCATACTTGAGTTCACTCAAATGCATAACTATTTGTGAGGTTTTCCAGGACATTTCAGCAGGGTGGGACCATATTTTAGGGCCTTGTCGGACTGAGTAGGACTATGTCTCAGGCATTTAGGGCACAGTGATCACAAACAGAAATCCATATTGTTTTCTTTTTTATTTTTCCATAAGTCTGATGATGCAAACTTAACAGTCAGAGGCTACAAATGAACATTGCTTCTGCAGCTCCAGGATCCAGATTAGAACAAGGCAAGCAATCCCCAATACAAACATCCATAATGAAACCCAGTAGTATATGGGTATAGAAAACCAGGCTCTGCAAATCTCCAATTTAGATTTTTTCACCCTGCCAAAAATACATTTTAAAACAGTCATTTAGTGCAACTAAATATTAAAGCTGCTATCTTATGTCAAAATGAAAAATCAGACCTGTAGCTCAAATCCCAAAATATACTCATATGTGGAGTTCTTGGTTTTTCTCTGAGCTTGGCTTTTTTGCTTGCAGATATTTCATTACCCAACTAGCTACCATCAGTGCTACAGAGTTTGGGGTTTGGTACTTTGCTTCCTGTTTATACATAGCACCTTGCCCTGTCAATGTTGGTGGGGGGGTATGGTTTTCTCCTTGGTGGTTCCTTGATTAGGGTATTGTTTTGTGTTTGATTGTTTGATATTCATCCCTGATTATATGAGTGATAGCTGCTGAAAAGGATGTCTTATCTTTCTTTCCTTCCTTCCTTCCTTCCATTTTGAATGGTATGCAAATATAGTTTATTTTTATATGTCTGTTGATGGCTGATTTGTCTGAAGGCCAAGCTTTCAGGAATTCCTTAGCATTTTTGGATTTAGTTTGGTCTAGAATCTCTAGATACTCACAATTTCCCATTTGAAGCTGGTTGAGTCTGACCATTTTTGTGACATTAAGGAGTTTTCATGATGTCTTTGCAATGTTACTTAGTGTTTAATGGATGCACTCTGCTAGTCTTTTATACATACAGAGTGGTTGTTAGAGTCTTATATTCTATGTTAAATTATCAAACAAAATTTATAAATTTTAGGAATTCTTGGAAGCTCGACATTCAAACAAATCAGCTGTCAATAGACACATAGAAATAAACTATATTTACATATCAAAAGACACAACAAAAAGCTAAGAAGGTTAAAAAGAGAGATCAGAGCACCCCCCCTCCAATAACCAAAACTCAGTTAAGCAGGGATTAACACCAGACAAACAAGCATTAAACGATACTCTAATGAAAGAACTACCCAGAAGAAAACCATATTTTCTCCAAGACTGGTAGGGCAAGCTACTGTATGCAAACAGGAAGCAAACCCCACACTCACTATTACTGATTATGTATCCAGTTGGATAAATGAAATGTCTGCAAGCAAACATCCAAGCTCAGGAAACACCAAGGACTCCACAGTGCAAGCCTGAGCTACATATACAGTATTCTCTTATGTTGGATACTCATGCATTTCTCAGATATATAGACTCTATTTTCATTATTACTGGACGTGAATGCAAAATAAAATATTATGCCTAAGAAACATAAGTTCTGTATCTCTTAGAAGAAATAACAAAAATTACACAACAATCCATATATTGCTTAATTCCATATTTGTACTTTTTCTGTTTACCTTTTTTGTAGCCATAAGGGCAAGAAAACAAAGATATTCTCAGCAAGTAAAACCCTGCACCCAATCCCAACCTCCTTGGACCACAGAAGCATAAGTAGAGTTTGCTTATTCAGATGAACACTTTAGTTCAGCATCCTACAGGACAGATGTCTCACAGAAGCTTACAGGTAGGACATGGACAAAACTTGCTCCTGGCACTCATTGCCATCGTGACTACTACAATAAACATTGATGGACCTACTGTTTGTAACTTCACCCATGGGCCCATTCTTTCCTTCATCCGCACTTTAAACCCATCTGTGCTGGTATGTATTCTCACCCTGGCAAAACTTCAAAATCCTTGCTAAGAGGCCACCACAGGTGATAAGAATAGAAGACAATATTCACTCACAGCGGAGCATTTTCTTCCAATTCTTCACATTCCTTGTTTGCCTCTTCAGTACCCAATCCTTCATTGAGATTTTCTAGACTTTTGCTAATGTGCCTTCTGCTCCTAAGTTCCGAATCTCTTCTGAAAAAGACAATAGAAGACATGCTTTATTGTCAGCTCCAAAGACAAAAAATACTTATAGCACAGTTGGGTACCGACAACTTCACTAAAAAGGCCAAGGAAGCCAAAAGGAAATGTTCAAACCAGCAGTTTTGTTGAGCCTGACTTCTAAACACTGAGTCCCATTGTGAAGTCAGTGAAGAGACAGAGAGTGATTAATTTGATTTTCTTTATGGTCTCGAAACAGCTGCCTTTGCTCTACACAGCCATAATTATAAATGAAGCCGCATATGTCTTAATGGGCTTCTGCTTCCCTACTTTTCAATAGATCAAAGAAATGCTTTTATAAAAAATGCCTATGCTGAAATGAAAAGATATACCCTGAGCATGTCTTTCTCACAGTTTAAAATAATTGGAGCAGCGTCATGATTTTAGGAGTAATAAAATGTATCTGTAACTTCCACCACTTGTCTCCAAACCTGACTGAAGAATGTTTTTTTAACAATAAAGAGATAATATTGGCCTTTGCTAATCCAGGGCTAGCTTTCCAGTGCTCCCATCACTTGCTGATTCAGCATTGCATCTCAGCTCAATGCACTGGCAGGAATTCTTTGTTTCCCACATCAGAAAATTAGTACACCAGTGACCAATGGTATAAAAAACAACATTGTATAAACACTTAGAGATGGAGACGAATCAGAACACTGAGATGTACACAGGAGAGATATCTATGTTTGAAAATTATTTGGCACACCTTAATTGCAAAACTAACATTTTTCTGACAGATAATCTGTCACAGAAATCAACTCAATATAAAGGTGAAACTCGAAAAATTAGAATATCGTGCAAAAGTTCATTTATTTCAGTAATGCAACTTAAAAGGTGAAACTAACATGAGATAGACTCTTACATGCAAAGCAAGATAGTTCAAGCCGTGATGTGCCATAATTGAGATGATTATGGCTTACAGCTCATGAAAACCCCAAGTCCACAATCTCAGAAAATTAGAATATTACATGCAATCAATAAAACAATGTCGGACCTCTGAAAAGTATAAGCATGCATATGTACTCAGCACTTGGTTTGGGCCCCTTTTGCAGCAATTACTGCCTCAATGCGGCATGGCATGGAAGCTATCAGCCTGTGGCACTGCTGAGGTGTTATGGAAGACCAGGATGCTTCAATAGCGCCTTTAGCTCTTCTGCATTGTTCGGTCTCATGTCTCTCATCTTTCTCTTGGCAATGCCCCATAGATTCTCTATGGGGTTCAGGTCAGGTGAGTTTGCTGGCCAATCAAGCACAGTAATCCCACTGTCATTGAACCAGGTTTTGGTGCTTTTGGCAGTGTGGGCAGGTGCCAAGTCCTGCTGGAAAATGAAGTCAGCATCCCCATAAAGCTTGTCTGCGGAAGGAAACATGAAGTCTCCTGGTAGATGGCTGCGTTGACCCTGGACTTAATGAAGTACAGTGGACCAACACCAGCAGATGACATGGCTCCCCAAATCAACACAGACTGTGGAAGCTTCACACTGGACTTCAAGCATCTTGCAGTGTGTGCCTCTCCATTCTTCCTCCAAACTCTGGGCCCTTGGTTTCCAAATGAGATGCAAAAGTTGCTCTCATCAGAAAAGAGGACTTTGGACCAGTGAGCAACAGACCAGGTCTGTTTTTCTTTAGCCCAGGTAAGACGCTTCTGACATTGTTTGTTGTTCAGGCGCGGCTTGACAAGAGGAATACGACATTTGAAGCCCATGTGCAGGATCCGTCTGTGTGTGGTGGCTCTTGATGCACTGACTCCAGCCTCAGTCCACTCCTTGTGAAAGTCCCCAACACTTTTGAATGGCCTTTTCCTGACACTCCTCTCCAGGCTGCGGTCATCCCTGCTGCTTGTGCACCTTTTTCTTCCATGCTTTTCCTTTCCACATAACTTTCTATTAATGTGCTTTGATACAGCACTTTGGGAACATCCAACTTCTTTTGCAATTACCTTTTGAGGCTTTCCCTCCTTATGGAGGGTGTCAATTATGGTTTTCTGCACAACTGTCAGGTCAGCAGTCTTTCCCATGATTGTGATTCCTACTGAACCAGACTGAGAGACCATACAAAGGCTCAGGAACCCTTTGCAAGTGTTATGGCTTAATTAGCTGATTAGAGTGGGACACTTTGAGCCTAGAATATTGAACCTTTTCACAATATTCTAATTTTTTGAGATTGTAGATTTGGGGTTTTCATAAGCTGTAAACCATAATCATCTCAATTATGACATATCACGGCTTGAAATATCTTGCTTTGCATGTAATGAGTCTATCTCATATATTAAGTTCACCTTTTAAGTTGCATTACTGAAATAAATGAACTTTTGCACGATATTCTAATTTTTCAAGTTTCACCTGTAGAAATGATTTTGGACTAGAATGATACATTATACGGGCTTCTGCTGCATCTAAAATGGGGGTTTCTTTAATGTAAAGCCTTTTTTTTGTTCGGACTGAAATTCTCAATATTTTAGGCTTTATGCTACGTTGCTATTGACATTTATATGGCTTCAATTTTTATAGTTGGTAATTTGAAAATGATGCAGTATATTCAGTTACTTGAACTAATTAACAAAAATTGACTTGTTAGTGTTTTATTCTTTCTTTTTGCCTCTCCATTTCTTGTTTGCTTCTTTATTTCTCCTTAAAATGCTTAGTAAAATGTATCTAATAGACACTAATTGGAGGTGCTTCAGAATGTAAGGAATCATATGCAGTACCTTTAAAGTAGCTGCATCCTTTTTTCAACTCCAATGATGTCTTTTATGAGACTTTACAGACAGCTAATTTTATGAGGTGGCTAAAGCATCAGGTTAGAAGCTGGGACACCACAAGTTCTACTCCTGCCTTAAGTGCAAAGCCAACTGGATGACTCTAGGCCAATCATTCTCCCTCAACCCTAGGAAGGAAGCAATGATAAACCACTTCTGAAAACTCTTGACAAGGAAACTGCAGGAACTTGTACAGGCAGCCCCCAAGAATCAGACTCAATGAAATGAAAGGGGGTGGGGAAAGTGTATACATCATTTTTCAGGCTTATGCCGAAGATTATTTTTTTTAAAAGATGTATGCTTTAAAGAAAGTTTTACTCACACTGTCAATGTTCCAAAGATCTATTTTAGTTAATCTTTGAATGCCTAACTAAAGGCCTTCATTCTGAAACCATTTTACCCATGGTGAAAATAAGTATGCAACAAACCCATAACTCCACTTTACTTACAGGGAGCTATTGCATTGTAATGGGGAAAGTACTGGACAAGATATGGAGTTGACAAGTTGACTGGGCTAGTCACTCTCAGTCCAACCTATACCAGTTGAGGGTCAAACTAAAAAAAGGGAGAGTTTCTGGGCCTTCTTGAGTGCCTGAGATAACAGGACCATAATTTAACAAATGTAGGCAAAAATCATTTTTATAGCTACATCTGGGAAACAAAAAGATATATTTTAAGAGGGCCTGCTATCTCTCAAAAGAAAACTGGGTGCAGTTGAAGGTGCTCAACATGAGGTCCTTGAGCTACATTTCCTACCTTTGAAGCCTTGAATACAACCCTGGAGAACCACAAGAGTTGCAAAGAAATCAAGATAGTTAAAGTTTCAGAAAGGGAAGAATCATTGTATTTGGGATTACATTTTTACATTAAAAAATTAATGCATATTTAGCTTTCTGCCTTCATTTATTTCTTGGCCTTGAGCTGCTTCCTTCTGGAGCATGTCCACCCACCCCAGCACTCAGAGGCCAAATGCAGCCCATTTCTAGCAGGAAGGATGCCTGGATGATTCCTTACCCTTCTGCACAATGGCTTTTTTCTCTGTTACAATGGCTGCTATTTGCTCCTTGCAGGCTTTGCTGTGAGAAGCTGGAAGGGCTTGGATGCAGGATCAAATGATTCTCTGCAGGGTCTTCTTGGGAAAAATGGGACTGTCTGTGATGGGGAAACAAAGAGAAACCATCACACCAAGGGCTAAGCCAAGCCAAAACAGTGCTCAGTGAGCGAAGCTCCTTGTGTTAGATCAGGGGTCCCCAAACTTGGCAACTTTAAGACTTGGGAGTTGAAGTCCACAAGTCTTAAAAGTTGCCAAGTTTGGAGACCTCTGTGTTAGATGATCCCTACCTTTGTGGACTTTCATCTTTGTCTATTGATGGCTTCACCACTTCTCCCTCAAGGCCTTCCTCGTTTTCAGAGCTATGGAACTGATGCAGAGATAATTAGATAACAGAAAAACAGAACAGCATGACAGAGTTGGAAAGGAACTTGGAAGTCTTTTAGTCCACCTCCCCGCTCAGGCAGGAAATGCTATATCATTTCAGACAAATGATTATCCAATCTCATCTTAAAAACTTCCAATGTTGCAGCACGTACAACCTCTGGAGGCCAGCTGGTCCACTGATTAATTGTTTTCACTTTTAGGAAATTTCTCCTTAGTTCTAAGTTGCTTCTCTCCTTGATTAGTTTCCATTTATTGCTTGTAAATACAAGCAGAAGTATGGGAAAGAAGAAGTATGTGACTGGCTTGCCATTCTGTAGTACTCCCGTCATAGTATCATCTCTTGAATGATTTTAAACAATGTCAAGAATGAGCATTTTAATGTAAGTTTCTTGTCCTCATGGAGTAAAGCTGGAAAATATGAGCAACTAGAACATTCTGGAGGCAATGAAATTATGTTACTAGCAAATTTTTTAACTCTGGGCTAGACTGTAAATGAATTCAGAACTGGCTTACAAAGAGAGAACGATGGTCAAATGGTAATGGAAATATAAGTGCCCTCAGCAAGTTATATTCTTGCAAACGATCCATAGTAATAGAAGAGATTTCTTACCGTTAGCTGCCTGGGTACAACTGCAATGCTGACTCGACGCCGAGCTGAGCCCTGGAGTGCAAAGAAGTTTGATTAGCATGCCTAAAGTTTGGGATTGGCTGTTATGGGGATCATGTTTCCCTTAAGGCTATACCTGTCCCCTTTCCTCAATCTCTAACAGTTCGTTTTCCAGGGACAATATGACAGAGTTCACATACCATGCTAGCTACAGTATTTACTGCTTAACCACGCTTTAGTACAAACATGCATGTATCCAGGGGTGGGATTCAATTTTTTTAACAACCAGTTCTGTGGGCGTGGCTTAGGTGGTGGGCATGGCTTGGTGGGCATGTGACTGGCTGGGTGTGGCCAACTCAATATCACTCGCATCGAGGCATGCATCTCCTCGCCTGGCCTCTCATGACTGTGGGGATGCTGCAACAGTTGTAAGTGTGAAAAATGGTCATAAGTCACTTTTTTCAGTGCCATTGTAACTTTGAATGGTCACTCCACACAAGCAAAGTATCAGCAAAGGAGGGGGAAAAAACTCCAGAGACGTTCCTGAGACAGGAAGTCTAGTTCTGCCAAGAATGTAATAAGGGTTAACGGAGAGGCAGTTTCTGTAAGCAACACCAGAATGTTTCCTTCCTGCCTTCCTTACAGGATTAGGCCAGTAATTTCTTCCAACAACCGGTTCTCCGAAGTGCTTAGAATGTTAACAACCGGTTCCAGTGAATAGCTGCGAACTGGTAGAATCCCACCCCTGCATGTATCTGAATCACTCTAAACTCTGGTTTACAAATCACAGTGCATGGTTCCACTCAATACCTATAGTCAGAACTAAGCAATCAATGTGGAGATGAAATAAAATGAGGTCTTTGAGCTGAGCAAGAGTTGAAAGAGTAGTTTGGTGCTGCCCAATTACAGGATAAGACAAAAATTTCACCTTTCCTTCTTTGGAGGTGATGAAGCTCTATGACTGGACTGCCTGCCTTCTGTAACCCTACCACCATCTAAAGCAATGATTCTCCACTGAAGCAGCTGAAAACTACTCCCCACAATCCTAATCTTCCTTACCTGCTGAAAAAATCGTGCTAGAGGATATTTCAGTCTCTGCTCACCATCATCTATGACACAAAAATATTTTTTTTTAATGGGAAGGACCGTAACTCAGGTGTTCAACTTGTTCAAGTATATGTTTTTCAGTTCAAAGGTGCTATATTCCACCTGTAGTATCTCCAGGAAGAGATGGGAAAGTCCAGTGTATAAAACACTAGAAAATTCGGTAGATTGAATATGGTTTGACATTCAATTTTCCACAGTAGATTATGTTCCAGTTGGGTCATTAAGGGGCATATAACATGCCGCACAATTGACTCACAGCAAGCTAGTATCTTAAGGCAACTTTAAAAACTGGCCTTTTCTGAAATGGATAATCATGAATTCTGAATCTGGATAATTATTTTATAGTGTGGGACAAAGGGAGCTTTTGTATGTTGAACAGACTGTTATTTGATAAGGTCAGGAACGGATTGTGTGGAAAACATGGAAAAAATATCAGTGTCTAGAGTCCTTTTTAGCCAAACTAAGGGGCAGGGCCAAGAAGAACCTTGAAAAGATTGGTTTGGGAATCTCTTTCAAGGTAGCTTGCCACTCTAAACTACAGTAAAATTTTAGAACTACTTTTTGTATGATTTTTTTGTCAGAGAAAAGTTAATTGCACTGGGAAACCAATCAAAGTTGCATGTTTCTTGTCTTTACATACTTTTCATCGCTGACTGCCGGCTGACTGCAGTTTGGCAGTTCAAATCTCACCAGGCTCAAGGTTGACTCAGCCTTCCATCTTTCTGAGGTGGGTAAAGTGAGGACCCAGATTGTTGGGGGCAATATGCTGACACTAAACCACTTAGAGAGGGCTATAAAGCACTGTAAAGCAGTATATAAGTCTAAAAGCTATTGCTATAGCTATTCATTGATAGAGCTACTGTATATTAAAACAATTCTACACATAAGAATACATGCAATGAATTAAAAATGTAATTATATCAGCTTGGGAAAAAGGGAGAGAGAAATCAAAATGGTTAGGATTTATTTAGCCCTTTGCTCTCTTGCTGCAATCCTGTAGAAAATCCTCTTCTTTATAAGTTAAGTTGAAGGGAAAATTACCAATCAATCAAAGGGAGAAATTATTGCCCAAGCAAATATTCTATCCATTTCATTCTGTAGCACATACCAAAAAGTGACACTTCATCATGCTGCTCTAATTGCTATAGCTTTTTCTTGATGCTTAAGTTTTGCTCCTTTATATGTTTTATTGATGGAAGGCACATATTTATTTTTGTTTATTAAATTTCTATGTGGCCCATTTCCGCTACAAGATGAAATATGGGCATATGTCAGGGCTTGGTTTCAAAATCCTTTAATCAGCTTGCATAACCTTAATAGGTAGGAAAGCTTCTTTCCAAGGGAAAACAGGTCAGAACTAAACAAACCTTCTTAATATATTCCCTATTAGATGGACCACCATGTTAAAGAGAGCTTCAAGTCAATTAAGAAACAGCTTGACTCCTGCAGATTATACATAGATTTTCTACAGAAATCTCAGTGAGGTGAGGGGTTTCCACAAAGTCAAAATGGCAACCATGACCATACATGCCATGAATTAACAAAGAGGCAGAACTTCTACTGAACAGTCTTCAGTGATGTCTTTTGACCTATTGGACACACTTTGCTAATTGACACCTCTGATTTTTAGTTGTGGGAGCAGAACTAGAAAAGGGCTGGACTATAAAAAAAAACACCCTCCCACATATTTGAAGTACAGCTGGTTCAATAGAAAGCTTTTCACCATTGTGGAACCTGTTGATATATGATAAAGAAACATGTGTCCTTCTAACTCATTTGGTATTTTTTAAAGATATAAAGCCTCAAACAGATAAAAACAAATTCTTTCCACACTTCTCCCGAGAATCCAAGCAAGTGTTAATAAGTGCTACTCTTACATCCAAAGTTTCTTCCTCTATGCACACCAGCTGTTTCATTGTCTTTTATTTCCATCCCAGGCTTTTTTCTAAGGAGCCAAGAGGACAATTCCTAGTTCCAAAGTGGGCAACTTTACAGCAGCTGAGGACAGATGCTTAATAATGAAATGGTATTAAACCATTTCATGCTTCAAAATAAGGCCTCCAAGAAAGAGATTGGGGGCCCCATGTGGGCCTGGGGCCTCAGGCTGTCCAGAGAGCCATTTTTACCCTTGTTTTCGGTTAACTGCCAGTTTCGGGAATTCTGCTGGATCAGTCTCTTCATATCCTCCAACTCTACATGCTCCCTCAGGTGATGCCGTTTCAAGTTCTCCACATGTTGCACCATCAATTCTGCAGCTCGACTCATGCGAGCCTCCTGCAGGAACGACAGGAAGGTATGAATGAATCCAAAGAGTAATAAAGGAAACTATGACCAAGCCAGCCCAACCTTCTTCAAGGAGATTGGTGAACAGGTTCACCTGCTTCAGCCCTATATTTTTTTAAATTGTGCAGTAATGACTATCACCGTAGGATAGTCAATGATTAATTGAGCCCATGAACCTTATGACTAATATTTTGCATTGGGATAGATTTCCATTGTGATTTTTAGACTTTAAGGCAGATCAAATGTGGTTAGTGGAAGACGACAGCAGCAAAGCGCTTTTATATTGATATAAAGAAAATGAAATGAATCGCATAGTAATTAAGCTTCTCAAAGGATATTTTTACCTTTTATAGTATTTTCTGAGGCTCAAGTTGCTACATTTTGCTAAGTCGGCCATATTAGCCCATATTGCAGGACAAAGGAAGCAGAGTGATGGTGGCTTACATAAAATCACTTAAGAACAAATACAGGGACCAAGTTTTGAATTGGAGACTTCCTAATCCTGGGAGAGCATTAGCTTCCCTGTTCAATTTTATTTCATCTAATTAAGTTTTAAATGTGGCTTCATCATATAAAACTATCCAGTGGCTAAATAATATGCAAATTGGTTAATTATTTGCCTAAATGTAATAACATTTCATTAAAAAAAATATGTTAGCAGGATCCTAAGATTCTAACATTCTACAAATGAAATTACAATGTTTGCAGGGTCCCAGGGTCATGTGATAGCCATCTGTGGCTTTCTCAGCCAGCTTCCAACAGGCAAGCTAAATTGTGGGGGGGGGGGAGCTTGGTTCACTCAACAACGGCATAATTTACTTAACAATAAAACTAGTGATTTGCTTAAGAGCATGGCAAAAAAGGTCAAAACTGGACATGATTCACTTAATAATTGCCTTGTTTAGCAATGAAAATTGTGGTAATCAGTCAAGGACTATACATATCCCTAACCTGGTATCAGGAAGAAAGGCTCAGGACTATATATTAAGTTGTCAGACTAGCCCAAGTTTCCTTCTAATAATCCCATAAGATGGTAATTGTTGAGATCAATCACCATCTACTCACCTTTCCAATAATTCAGAGTTTAAATGACAGAAATAATAAACCTACAGTCTCACCTGATGGACAGCTCCTAATTTCTCTGCTGCACCTGTTGCCCTTTCAATTGTTCTTGTCAGAATTGCTAGGCTGTTCTGTAAATGTTCAACCAGTTCCTTGTGCCTGAGGTCCAGACAGGCCTGATCCAACTTCTGGTGGGATAAAACAGAGATTCTTGAACGAACTGAAATAATGAGTACTAGGACTTCCTCGCTAGACTTCACAAATAAGAAAATTTTCAGGGCTGGATCCATTCATTATCAATGCAATGCAACAAAAATGGGCCTAATTTCCTTCAGAAATCTTTATGTGTAACCTGCTCAGTACACACATTGTTTTAGCCAAACTGTCTTAACTGCACATGGGTGATGATAAAATCAGAAAGGCAATCTATTTATGGTTCAGCCATTAATGAAAAGGATAGGAAAAATGCAATGTCTGAATCCATCTCAATCTCTGCTGGTCTTCTCCCATTTGAGATTTTGGAAGCCCAACTCTACTGATGCTTCTAGATTACCATATTTTGGAATACAAAATAAATGGTTAAAAGACTCCAGAAAATTCCTTCACTTGCCTGCAACACTGCCTGACATTCTGCCAACTCCTCTTGAATATTCTCTTCTGCTGTGTTCCGGGCTCGTTCTTCTATCTGTACTCGCTGTCTCAGGGTAAACATGTCGCAGCGTAAAGCCAAGGCTAAGTGCGCAAAAGCTGCCTGCCAAAAAAAGGAAGATCATCCAAAGTGTACTGCTGATGGAACTCTATCATATTCCACATTTTTCAAAACCAAAACATTTGGGGAAATTGTTAATGAATAGATCGTAAGTCAAATATTCTAATTTTCTCTAGGAAACAGAAAAGATAGTGTAAAATTGTTGTACTTTTATCAGTTTCTTATCTGCAATCAAGTTTCAAGAGAAAGTTAATATATTGTGCATATGTATCTATGTATTTGTATTTCCATATTGAACCAGCACGAAATTCATCCATGTGTAACAAAAAGACAGAAAATCAGTTGCTATAATGGTGAAAGGCTCTTGGCTTCATGATGGGAGACTGTGAGGTCAAGTTGTCTTGGGCCAGTCATTCTTTCTCAATCTTAGGAAGAAGGCAATGGCAAATCACTGAAATGATTGCCCCAAAAACCCAGTGCTTTCCTCCCCCCCAAAAAAGGTAACTGGACTTTCTTGGTTCTTTGCCTTTGAAAATGTTTAGCTTCTCATCCAAGAAGATTCTTCAAGCTCCTGGTTGAGAAAGGAAACATTTTCAAAGGCAAAGAACCAAGAAAGTCCAGTTACCTTTTGAGGGGAGGGGGGGAACCTTTGGGCAACCATGACCTGAATCTCCATAGACATTGCCAAGAAAGCTGCATGGATCTGTCTGGGCAGTTTCCCAGAAGCTATGACTGACTAAAAGACATTGATATGAAACGTCACCTTTCACGATGACCTGGTCATCTTAAATTATTAATTGTTTCAGATAGTTTCCCAGGACTCATAGCCTTTAACTAAGAAAACAGAATGCCTCCCAAGTAATAACATATTATTGTTTCATTGTTGGGAAATTGAAATACAAATGTTTTGTTTCCCTCATGAAAAATGTCTAGTGTCACAACAAATTACATACATTTATCCATTGTATGCTTTCTAGTGACACTGTAATGTAATGAAAAAGAATTTAAATCATTTGAGTCCTCTGATATGTAGAAAATTTGCCAACTCAGTCAATGTTATTATGGAAGCTGAACTTAATGCTAAAATTATTCAAACATCTTTGATGAAGGGAGGTGTTCTTCACTAAGGACAATACTGTAGTGCATAGTTGTAGTTGGGTCTCAGAACAAATAATGTTCTGCAGGTCAGAAAAAGAGCTGGCCAAGAAATCAATTATTTTAGAACATCTATCTCCATAAGCCTCAGAATCAGAGGTGGTATTCAGCAGGTTCTGACCAGTTCTGGAGAACAGGTAGCAGAAATTTTGAGTAGTTAGAGAACCGGTGGTAACCGTCCCTCAGGAGTGGGGAGGGAATGGAGATTTTGCAGTATCCTTCCCCTGCCACGCCCACCAAGCCACACCCACCAAGCCATGCCCACAAAACTGGTAGTGAAAGATTTTGAATCCCACCACTGCTCAGAATATCTTCTGAAAAAGCTAAAATGCTATGAATTAGAAAGAATTCAACTGCGTGGACAACAGCACTTACCTCCACATCTTGCTCTGTGAGAGATGCCCTGCAAGGAAAATACAAAATCATACAGAGTAGATATTACTAATATTTGATATTAGTGATCTGGCAAAACTCAAACAACTTAGCAGGGGAGAGGTTCTGCAGCTTCCAACCTGAATAATTTCACCCATGAAGCTGGAGAGAATGCAGAAAAAACACCCTCCACTATTGTTCTCCAATTTACAGAACCTGTGAGCAAACATATTCAAATTGGTATAGCTCATTGGGATGTAAGTGCAAGAAGTAACTCAAATTTACAAGGGGAAATATCTTGTAAATGATATGGAAAGATTATAATAATAATGATTTCAGAAATGCTGTTGCTAAGGTTAGTACAAACAATTCTTGGAATTAAATTGTGTTTGTTTGGGGTTTAAAGCCATTCTAAAGCCAACATCTAGGAATAGAGATGCCTTGTTTTAGAGAACCTCCTTTCCCACTCATAAAGAAACAGACAAGCAAGAAGGCCTATGAAAGAATCCTGTCAGACATGTGGATGGATCTTACCTATGCAGGCCCAGCCTCTGAAGCACAGAAACCTCCACCTGTGAAGTGTTCAATTCATCTTCAGAGGACTCTGATTCTAGATAAGAAAAAGTTTAACAAATAAAGTAGAAACAGCACAAATTAGGAACAGATTTTTTTAAAAAAAATAAAGACACTTAGTCATCATTGAGATTATTTTGGCTAGAAATTCATTGCAAAGGTATGGCAGGCCAGTAACTGCAAACTGTTCAAAAGCACTTTAAATGTAAGTTAAATTCCTGATAAAACAATTTGCCCTAGCAATTCCTGGGCATTTGTTCTTACACAGACTACAGGAGAAATCACGCAGATAGGACATTAATCTGGATTCTTTTTTCTAGACTAAACAGCCATTCTACACAGTCTAAGAACATGCCTTTGGGGTTTGCTTATTTCAATAGAAATATGGTTAACCTGCATCATTCATAATTCTAGAGGAGCACGCTTGAAGAAAATTCCTGATGAATATACAAATGGAGAAGATGCTAATCTTTTGGAGATGGAAAAATTTGAATTGGGGGAAAAAAGACAAACTAGCCATTTCTGGAAGGTTAGGAGCATAAATTAAATACATATATAAATGGGAAAGCAGAATTGGAAGTAACTAAATGAAAGGCAGGGAATTGTAGAGAACAAATGGATGAGTAGAATTCTGAAAGACTTTTGAATATAAAATAAAAAGGAGGGGAGAGAAAAATTAGAACATATGGACAATGCAAAGGAAGGAGAACACAAGATAAATCCAGCACTCATTCACCAACCTTCGTCGCTGTCACCACTGTCTTTGAAGCACACTGCTTGGATTCTGCTCCTCTTTGTTGGCTCTTGGGATCCCACCACAGAAAGCTGCAAAGGAACAAGTGTAGTTACAATCAAGCAACTGTAGTTACAATCAGGCAACAGAAATATACACACACATTTGTTCCTCAAGATGGATTCAGTCCTCTTAGGCAGTGATCCCCAACCTTTTTTACGCCGCGGCCCGGTATCCCCAACCTTTTTTATGGCGCGGCCCGGTACCGACATCAGCTGGGCGCCGCCATCTTGTTTTGATGAAAAAGTGCTTCCGGTGAGCATTCTACCCGGAAAAGCTCACCGGAAGCACTTTTTCATCAAAACAAGATGGCGGCACCCAGCAAGCCAGCGGCCCGGTAGGACTTGTTCCACGGACCGGTACCGGTCCGCAGACCGGTGGTTGGGGACCCCTGCTCTTAGGGAAATGGAATTAACTTGGAAAGAAGGATCATGATACCACCACAATTATACACAGCAGAGTGGGCTGTTATGAGTAACACCAGCAGCAGAGAAAAACCTTCCTTCATACTTGTTTTCATTTGGAACTTTGGTATATTTGTTTCAAGCCCCACATCATTTTACAATAAAGTAAGAGAGATTCCAATTGAATAGTACGGTCCAAGAAAGTTTTCTCCAATCTGGTATTCTCTATACATCTTAGATTACAACTCTCAGAATGCCTAGTCAGCTCATCTCCAAAATACCAAATTGAAGCAACATGTTTTGGAAAATACTCTGAGGGCAGTACATAACAAAGCTAAGGCATTCAGGGCCTGATCAATACCTAGCACTAAAAATGGGGAATCCCCTCTTGAAAATTAGGCAATAATTGTAAAACCATTCTAGTCTTACTTACTTTGGATTTGCTATCAGAGCTTTGGCTTCTTTCATTCACCATTCTTTCTGATTCTCTTTCTGAAGTAGCCGTTGTTACTGAAGAAACAAATACAGAAACATACTCTTCTCTTCTTACATTTATTGTATTCATGAGAAAATTTTCCATTGAACCTAAACCCTAAAATCTGACAACAGGATTGGCATCATCCATATATTTTGGGCATCTCAGGGACACGAGAAGAATGCTAGAGGACTCAGAATAGAAAAACGAGAGAACTAACAGGTCCTCACATTTCTCCTTTCTAAGTGGGTTCTTTCCAGAAGGAACAATGTGAGTTCTAATGTGCAGGTCAAAGGTGAGTTATCAGAGTACCTTGGGCTTTTATTCAGAGAATGAGGATGGGAGAACAGGATGACAGTACATGCATTCTAAAGCAGTAGAAAAACTTAGGTCAGCTATCTCCAATCTAATGTTTTTCAAACATTTTTGAAGATGGGGCCTGAGCTCCCAGAAATTCCACCCTGGTGCAGGGATTGCAGCATAGTGCTCTTGAGACTTGATCACAGAAGAGTGATAACACAACTGAATCCACAAAATATTTTTATTTGAAGCGAAGACATATTGAAGTAGCAGTAACTTTGTAGCACCACCTTGAAACTGTAAAGCAGGTGTAACCAACCTTGGCTGGCAATTTTAAAACTGGGGACTGGGAGTTGAAGTCCCCAAATCTTAAAGTTGGCACAACTGGACACCCCTACTGTAGAGGAATAGAGTGATGACCTTGGTGAAGGAACAGAAGAGCCTTGAAGGGAAGACAGCATGAGAAAGAAACTCAGCATAACCCTGTCTTAGTTTCATTTGGTATAAGATGGGGCAGAGAGAAACTCTGACAAGTTTTCAAGGTTCTGTTATTATATCCTACCATGATAAAGTAGCACTCCTGGAATCCTTTTAGTGTCTGTTTCCTGACTTAGCCTACCTCAAAGGGATGACATAATCCTCCATCTAGCATGAAGAATGTCCAAACCAGCAGTAGCCAAATGATCAGAGCAAGGCCTTCTGGCGTGAATAGGCTGTATACAGGGCAGAGGAATAAAAAAAAAGAGTGATGTTGATGTTAAAGTGGCAGAGAAAAAGCAGCCACTGCATCCAGAATAAAATTGTGGCAGGTTCTGTTGCAACTGAGAAACGATCCAGTGGTAGGACAGAATAAAAAAAAAATAAAAAAAGAGTGAAAAGAAATTGTTGGAGTCAGAGTGCCTTGTGTTCTTTCTCCCATTGAATAGAGCCAGAAGGGTTCACTAAGCTCTAGACTTGTAACTGCTCCATTAGATGCAGGGGAAATTGCTCTCTTTGAGGTGCAGTCACATCTGTTGAAAGCTGCTAACTTTGAGCAATGAAGACCTACCAGCCACTAACGATACCAAGCCCTGATCAATCTTAACAAATCACATCAGGTTAGCACCTTCTAAAATTAGGAGACAGCCCCACCCCTCCCTCCCCCAAGGCTGGTCATTACTCCATCCATGCCCGAGCTGCTTACCGGCATCCAAAGACAGCATAGGACCATCCAAATCTCCCAGATGCTGTATCTGCATTTCTTTGCTGAAATGATAATTAGGCTTGATTAATTATCATGAAGCTCCGCCGGCAAAGAGACAAGCTCCTTCATGAAGCTGGCGTTCATTTCCTCCAGTTGAAGTGAAAATTGTATGAGGATTGTTGCTCCAGGAGAGGTAACCTTGGGACATCTGGCAGGGTGCTTGGTCAGAGGGGCTGCTTCAGGCTGAACCCTCTTCTGCAGTGTGATCTAATCATGTGGAGTGCAGTAGGCACCCTTCAATCTTCCTTTCCCGCCTAAGCCTCGCCATCTCCACAGGCACCGCCTGGCATGGAATCAGCTATCTTACCTCTGCAGTAGTTTGCCATTCTCTTTGCTGGATCAGGCTGACAGCCAATGCTGCAGTCTGCTGTGCCTTTTGCCTCCCGATAAATAGACCAAAGGGAACTCCTTGTAACTGTATTTTTCCCAAAACCTATGAGTCACAGAATCACAGAAAATCATCACACCCTACTAACAGCTTCCAGACTCCCAAGCTGACACTTTTGTCTAATCCAGGAAGTAAGAAAAAGAATTTTAAAAAAAAATCTACAAGGCCACCTGCTGGGGAAAGCTCAGAACTGAGTGGAAAGAATAAGCAAAGAATGGAGGGTAGTAGAATACTAATTTTGCCAGCAATGGTAAAATTTAGCAGTTACAACAAGACATGCCATTTAGCGTGTTCGTTGCTCAGTACAGTTATCTATGATTTGGAAATCAAATGTTTTTGACTCTATAGAGTGTTCAATGTCTGGAATACTCTACCCGACTCTGTAGTTTCTTCCCCAAACCCCAAAAACTTTAACCTTAGACTGTCTACTATTGACCTCACCCCTTTCCTAAGAGGTCTGTAGGGGGCGTGCATAAGCGCACCAACGTGCCTACCGTCCCTGTCCTATTGTTTCTCTTATTCTTCTTTTATTTTTCTTATATGTACCCATTTCATGTATTCACAACTATGTATACACTTATACTTATCTTGTAAACAATTGGCAAATCAAATAAATAAATAAAATAAATAAATCTATGATTTGGAAATCAAATGTTTTTGACTCTATTCTTGGTGCAGAGCTAGAGGGGTACTCCAAATCCCAACGTGCTAAGATTTTTGGGAATTGTAGTTCAAACATATTCAGAGACTACCAACTCGAGGAAGAAAAGTGTGAAGAGTTTGCATCACGGATATGCCACAACACAACACAGTCCATTTGCCGCAGCCAACTCACCATGACCAACTTGCCATTTGGCAACTTGCTGCAGGGCAATTCAACAATTCAATTTAATTATTTAACATAACTTAAAAATATTTTAGTTTTTCCTCATTTAAATTTAATTTTGTCTCTCCTTTGACATCCTTCGTTGAATGATTTAAGGAGCCGTGGCGGCACAGTAGTTAGAGTGCAGTATTGTAGGCTAAGCAGTTTGATTCTCACCAGCTCAAGGTTGACTTGGGTTAGGGTTAGGGATCGGTAAAATGAGGAGCCAGATTGTTAGGGACAATATGCTGACTCTTGTAAACTGCTTAGAGAGGGATGTAAAGCACTGTGAAGCGGTATATAAGTCTAAGTGCTATTGCTTTTGCTTAGCAAAGATACTATACTTACCAAGCTAAAACTATATCATCTTCAGAAGCCTTCCTATTTGAATTCATTCAAATGCATAACTATTTGTGAGGTTTTCCAGGACATTCAGATTGTCATTCTGCATCATTCCCCCCTGCTGCCCATGCAAAACTATAAAATTTAATATTTATATTTGGTAATGAAACAAACAGAGGAGATAATCTAAATCAAACTTCCCTAATGAAGTTGGAGGAAGAACTGTGGAAAAGAGTGATCTTCTAGCACTTCTACAGTCTAAACAGCTCATGCCATTACCAAGATGTTTAGCCCAATAGCTCTTGACGTTCAGAAAGAAATGAAGTAGAGTAAAAGGCCTGATATCGCTCAGCTTATTTGTGTTAATTGGAGTCAAGGAAGCTAAAACTGCCCCATCTCAGCACAATTTCTGGGAGAACAATGGGTGTCCCTCGAGTGGTATATCCACACCCCCAACCCCACTGTCTACAAAATCCACCTCCACTAGAAGGCCAGAGAAGTTAGGATGATTTTTTATCTGCTCCATTAGGCATTCTTCTGTTCAAAGGTGACAACTTTATCTTAGTAGTGGAAGGTCCTTCTGCTTTATCTGTGGAAGCTCCCAGGTTGGCATCTCCAGGCAGGGTTGCCAATAAGTACAGGTAGTCCTCAATGTACAATAGTTCTTTAGTGACTGTTCGAAGTTACAACGGCATTGAAAAAAATTGACTGATGACCATTTTTCTCACTTATCCCCATTCACTTAACAACTGTGTAACTAACTTAACTACAATGATTCACTTAACTATGGCAAGAAAGGTAATAAAATGGGGCAAAACTCACTGAACGGTCTAGCTTATTATATTGCAATAGCAACAGAATTTGGGGGCTGTTTGTGGTCACAAGTTGAGGACTTAATATATGTAAATAAGTAAGACAAATGATAGACAAGATGAAATGAATAGTCTACACAGAATGTGGTTTCCTAATAGGCAGTAAATCTGCATTTATTACAAGTGCAAAAAGATTGTATAATAGACTTGTTTTGTTTAGGACAGGGGTGTCCAACCTTGGCAACTTTAAGACTTGTGGACTTCAAGTCCCAGAGTTCCTCAGCCAGCAAAGCTGGCTGAGGAACTCTGGGAGTTGAAGTCCACAAGTCTTAAAGTTGCCAAGGTTGGACACCCCTGGTTTAGGAGAAGAATAGGCAAAAGAACCAAGAGATGGGACAAGAACGTATGTGGAGACATTATTTCTTTACGGGCATTTTTTGGTTAAATACTTCTAGGTGGAGGAACATCAGCAAGCCTAACATCATTTCACAGACACTGATGGTGAGATGCGTTCAGTGAGTTACACCGACAAACGGCTCTGCAGGCTACATTTAGTTCAGCGCTGATCCGCGGAGAAAAGAGAAGTATTTAGGGCCTCCCAACAGAAAACTGCCATCACCTGGAAGCTATCCAAAACAGCCTCAACATCAGAGCTTCCCTACATGGCAATTTATTACAGGGCAGCAGCTTGACATGCAAATCAGGTCATCATGCGCAGACAATTCTGGAGCTTTGAAAATGCAAAAGAAAGGCTATAGGGCTTAAGCAACTAGATAAACACAGAAGCCGGATGAAACAGGAGTTGAAATCTAAGAATGCACAGGCAGAAAGGGCTACATGGAAATGGGAAAAATGCTTTAAGACAAAATGAAAGGACTAGGGCAGTCAGGAGTAAATACATTTTTTAAAAAAATCCAGTAAGGTTGCATGCAATGAAAAATCATGTTTATTTCATAAGAGGAAAATATTTTCATTCCATTCTTTTCATGTGCTGCATAATTTAACAACTTATAAACTATGAGACGCAAGTGAAACAGCTATCACCATCTTAATTTTTGCCCCTATTCTGGGGCCAAATAGTCCTAGTGTCACAGCAGATGCAGCACGGAGGAGAGACCAATAGGAACTCCTTTGGCTTTAGTTTAAATTGAGAAGTAAAAAAAAATATCCTGGAAGAAGTCAATAATGAATTATTTCCAAATTATTGCTGAGAAACACAACAGAGAGGCATCCATGAAGTCACATACAGTCAAACTCAGCTGCAAGAAAACTCTCTCTCATCAATTTATATTGTTGTTCTACTCAGCACATAACTCAGGGAGCTGTACCTAATCAGTACCGGTAGTCCCCAGGTTACAACAGCAATTGGAATTGCCATTGCTAAGTGCAATGTCACATGCCTGCACCGCTTAGCGATGGCAGTTTTGGCAGTCACAAGTTGCCATTGTTAAGGATGAGGACCTCATGTGACTGTGACTTCCAAGTTGCTACTGGCTTCCCCATTAACCTTCCTTGTGGGAAGCTGGCAAGGAACATTAGAAACCACAATTACGTGACTCTGAGGACTGAGGACTGATTGTAAGTACCCCTCATGTAGCACTGTTGCAAGTTAGAATGATTGCTGAATCAATGAACATAGGCAGAGGACTATTTGGGTCAGTAAAATCAATAGAAAACACATAATGGAGCAAAATATAAAGAATAATTCAAATAAAAACCAAATCCAGAGTGCTTGGGGGGGCGGAATTCATGCATTGGGTCATACATTCTCAGACGCAAGGAGGAGGAGGAGAAAAACCAAGTCTTTAATGCCTTCCAAAAGTCACGTATAACCAAAAACTAACAATATTGGAGTTAGATAAAGCGATAGCACTTGTATAAATCATCCCACAGTGCTTTATACAGCCCTCTCTAAGCTGTTTACAGAGTCAGCATATTGCCCGCAACAATCTGGGTCCTTATTTTACCAACTTCAGAAGGATGGGAAGCTGAGTCAACCTTCAGCCAGTCAGAATCGAACTGCTGGCAGTCAGCAGAATTAGCCTGCAACACAGCATTCTAACCACTGTGCCAACCACTGCTCTTCTACCCTGATCCATTGCATTTATTTAATAATATGCAAATTCAGACATGTCTTTTTCCCAGGATGGATGATATGATCCTGAAAGCCAATAGGAGTCTTGTACCAGTGCTGCAGTGGTAGAGCCGAATTAAAGAAATCCAATCTCAGCCATGCATTCACAAAAACAGAAGCCATGTATGAGCAACTATGGGCTCTGACTACTGTAACATTAATATCAACACACTGACAGGATCCATGCAGTGTCTCTGTGTTTCATTCAACGTTTTCACTTCTTTCCTCACAAAACAATTTTCAGAATCCCTGAAAGTAGCATTTACTCTTTTAAGAGTGGCTGACCTGTCCATGACTTACCTCTGGACAGTGTTTCTTTTCAGGAAACTAGGAGGGCTTGAAAGAATAGGAAAAACAAAGGCCTTCGAAGGGGCATGGCTGCAGAAGGTATTTCTAAGCTGCATTACCACCACCATTGCATTCTTTTTTGCTGAGAGTACGAAGTACCTGTTAA